AAAAGATCCATAAAAATAATAAGTCCCACAAGTGCTTTAAAATGCAAGGTTATATCCTAAAACATGGTGCCAAGTGAATATTTTGTTTTCACATGGTCCAAAAAGTATTTATGAATATTAAAAAAAAAAAATCAATACAAATAAGAGCATTTTTAAACATTTCTTTTTATTGAAAAATTCTAATTTCACATCATATGTGGTCAAATGTTTTTTAGAAAAAACCTTTTGGAAATTTGGTAAAATCTCGATTTTGTGTCATGGCCAGCTGGTAAAACGTTTTGGAAAATATATTTTTAAATTTTCTTTTCTGCACCTCTCATCAAATAAGAGCATTTAAAAAAATAGAATTAGACTGTATAAACAATTGACAGTCTCAACGTCTCTACAGTATGTAGTCAATGCAGGACTGTATAACAAACTGGTCAAGTTATCTATGAAGTTAGACTACACACCAACAAATTGGCAGAGTTTTAAAAAATAAAGTAAAACTTAAGCTAAACAGACAAAAACAAACTAATGAGGATCATAATTCAGGGATTTAGTTTGAGGTTCTATTATTAAACATCTCAGGGCTGTCATCATAAGTTTCCATCTACAACAGTCGAGGTGACCAACACCGATTTTAGTGTCTAGGCATTTAGTTTCATGAAAAATAGACATTTTGTATTTTTATTTTTTTAAATTACTTGGACTTAAGTGTTGAAGAACGTGGAGGAGGGAGAGACAGTGCAGTCATGTTAAATGTAGTTTATTTCAAAATTTTAAATTAAAATGTAACTACAAAGTGTGTTTTGTTGAGTCTGGGCCCAACAAAAAAAGAAAGGAAGAGGCCAGCCCAGGCAGCAGTTGGCCTTGGTCCCAGAGATTCCTTACTAATATAAAACAAGGCAGCTATGAATATAATCAATGCATAAGTCAACAAGGCAAACTGATTAGTCATTACCATCGATATCAGAGGTCCCTCTAAGTGCCCTTTAACTTCTGCTATTAAAGACAATTTAGACTAAATCAGTGTCAGTTTAACAGAATTGGTGAGCATAAATTTGACAAAAAAAATTAAACATACATAAACAAAAAACATCTATGACATGAATAGTCATTAAATTCAACAACTGACAGCGTATTCACAGGCCCTAAAAACAAAGACCAATGTCTAAACAGTAGGCTAAAAATGAGCAGTCAGCAGTACATTTACAACAACAGTAACATCTTGACAAGCACTCGATTCATCTTATAGTGACCCTGAACATCTATATTCTCTTCCCTGAAAACTGCACTACTGTGGACCTCCACCCCAAATTAAAAACAAGGGAACCATGAACTGAAATCACCATGACTTCTCATGTGCAGTCCTTGATGTGGCCAAAAGGCCTCTGATGAAATAACTACAAATGCTACAAAACAAATTGTCATTCATTCTGTTCTAAAGAACTTCACATTGACTTGTTAGTTGCATTTTTTGTAGGATGATGTACCATAGATGGGCCAGGTCACAAAAGCAGATGGATCCATGTCTGATTTTGGACACGACCTCCATGGTACAGCACTCAGTAAAAATTCATGACTGGATTTCTGTCAGCACCAAGAAGAAGGGGAAGGGCAAGGACCTTTCCATATTATGAGTCGACTCTGTTTACCTCATTCTGTAGTGTGAAGGAAATCCAGCTCATAAATTCTAACTGATTGCGAACTACAGCAAAGGAAACAAATCGGGAATCAAGTTGTTTAAACTCAGTGACAAAAGATTAAAACTAGAACTATGCATGAAATGTCATGGCAATTTATATACGATCAACCTTATGAGAAAAAAAAAATTACAAAAATCAATTTACAGCTGAACTTGTCAGCTGTGTTGAGCCTGGTGTCCTCGGGGCCAAGACCTAAAAATGAAGGAGTCAAGTAAGTTTTCTACACAACAACAAACTGACCACAACAGGGATTATAGATTAGTACAAACCTTGAGACAGTCAGTAGGAAGGGGACAGTTCTGGATTATCTTAGCTGCAGTCATGACTTGACCAGGATGTAGGTTCTCCAAGTTCTGTAATCGCAGGTCTATTGGATCCTAGATAAGAGTAAGCAACATATTGGATCATTAACAAATATACCAGAGAAAGAAAACCCTGTCTTTTAGTGGTGTTCTTCTTTGAGCTTTTTCCTGGTTTTGCCATTAGTTATCCTGTACATGTGTCCTGCTTAGCAAGTTCCAGAGGACAAGAGCAGGAAGGGAAAAAAAATAAAAATTTCCCAGATTCCTAGCCATTCTACATTTGACTACAATAACATGGAATTTGGAAATGGAAATATTAAAAACCTATAGAACATCAGATCCTTCTGCTCACCTCAGGTTCCTTTAACCAGGCTACAACTTCTCCATACTTGGTAATCCCTAGGCCATATAATCCTAAATATAGATAAGAACAGACCAGGTCAGTCAGTCTGTAGATTAAAGGAAAGAGCAATGGTTAACATGAAGAACAAACCTGAAGACAGATCAGAGAGCCTGAGAAGATCTTGCTACTAAGGACTTGGTCCACCTTGTCCCTACAGTCCAGGAGGCCAGATTTCTAGAATTTGAATGAATCCAGCACCAAAACCTCTTGGGCAGGGAACAGCAAGGAGTCTTACCTGTTGAATTGACTAATCTTACCACATTCAGTCAATCAGGACAGCCTGGGTGAAGCCTACACCACCAGTCCCTGCACCACCACCACCCCTGACCATAGAACACAATAACCACTAATAAACACCAGTGAATTAAATTAACAAGTGAATATCAGGTCTCCAGGTGACCTGCCAGTCACTCCAAACTCATACTATATATGACTGCTCTAGTATCCCTAGCCATTCTCTCGCCAGCATACTTCAATTACAGAGAACCAAAGCTCCCTTGAACAATAAACAATATCTAAGGCAGACACTAAAATATTATATCAATCCAAACAAATTGTTTCAGCTTGCTTTACTCCAAAGGGTGAGCTAACATTTAAAAAAAATAAAAAATAAAATACTGGCCACATCATGAGGATACAGCATTCCAAACCCAGAGGGATCCATGTCTGGTTTTGGAAGCAGTGTCCATGATGGGTTAATGAGGATAAAATGACCTGATTTCCTTGAACAGAAGAAGGGGAAGGACAAACCTCACCACTTTGAGTCGACTCAGTTTACCTTGTTCTGTAGTAGGAAACCAAGCTCATTACATCCACACTCAGTTAATCCATAGACCAATCAGGTGAAATTAGCAGAGTTTTTTTTAATCATAACTTGTCGTTAAGAAGCTGAAGCATGTGATTGAATTGGGAATAAAATATCACAGGAAGTCTGCATCAGTACCTAAAATAGTCTAATGACTTGGTGATGAAATTCTAAGACTATACTCACAACTGACTTTAGGGCCGAGGGTGAACTGATCTGAAGCAGAGACACTCGTAGGAAGAACTCAGAACCAGGTCCGAAGTCTGCACTACCTGATCAGCTTCTCTCCATCGCAACAATTAACCAAGGTGACCTGAAAGATTCTATTGACACCCTACTAATTATCTCACTCTAGACCATCTGGCCACTGTTGTAGTGGTAACATGAGAGGAGAATTTGTCACTAAATCTGCCTCTCAACTAAACTTTTGACAAATCATACAAGTTCTACCAAATCAGCTTTATTTACTTATGAACTTCACACAAAATCAGAAGGTTAAAAACAACAAGAGGGTAAAACTAAATCCTTTTCAGTGCTATCAAGTGTCAGAGTAAACTGTATACTTAAGTAAGTAATAAGTAACTAGAGCAGCCATTAGCATCACTACCAAAGGTCCACATCATTCTCCTTTAAATTCTACTATTCAGCCCACAGAATTTGCCAAATTCATTTTTTTAAAACCATTTTGAATATCAACTTAAACTTAACCTAGTCTTGGATTGTCTCTTTGCCAAGTATATTTTCTATTAAAGAACCTAATTGCGCAATCTAACCGGTATGCCCACAAGATTAAACCGCCTTATTTATAAGTTTTCCATTTTACCCCGCATGTATCTAGTAAAACGCGCAATTTTTTGGCAGAGGACAGAGTTCCCCTGCTGGGAGGCCTCCCAACGTGTCGTCTAAATACCACTGAAGGGTTTCTCTTTCTTTAGTAGAAAATTAACTTGGCAGAGGGAGATAAGCCGGCCCTAAAAATCCAAACTGTTTAATGCCATTAAAGACAATTTAAACTAAAATAAATTTTAAAAACAACATCTATGAGTTGAAGAGCCATATTAATCTAACAACTGAGAGCGTATTAACAAGCCCTAAAACAAAGACCAATATTTCAATCACTGTACAGCAGGCTGTTACTACAGTTACACTCGGGCCATCTATTAGTGACCCTGAACAACTCAGAACATATTCTGTACACCAGTGAAACATGCAGATAAAGATGATCAAAGAAAAACAACAATCCATATACAGCTGAACTTGTGTCAGCTGTGTTGAGCCTGGTGTCCTCGGAGGCCAAGACCTAAAAATGAAGGAGTCACGTAAGTTTTCTACACAACAACAAACTGACCACAACAGGGATTATAGTTTAGTACAAACCTTGAGACAGTCCTGGATTATTTTAGCTGTAGTTCTGTAATCTCTGGTCTACTGGATCCAAGATAAGAGCAAGCAACATATTGGATCATTAACATAAATATACCAGAGAAAGAAAAACCTGTCTTTTAGTGGTGTTCTTCTTAGAGCTTTTTCCTGGTTTTGACATTAGTTAGCCTGTACATGTGTCCAATAGACCAAGGTTCAGGGTCAACATCTGCAAGAGAACAAGAGGGAAAAACTTCAAATTTCCTGGATTCCTGTCCATTCAGCATTAGATCACATTAACATGGAATTTGGAAATATTAAAAACCTACAGATCATCAGATCCTTCGGCTCACCTCAGGTACCTTTAACCAGGATCCAACTTCTCCATACTTGGTAAACACTGGTCTTGTAGATACAGATCAGAACAGACCAGGTCAGTCAGTCTGCAGCTGAACAGCAATGTGAAGAACAAACCTGAAGACATCCTGTGGCTAAGATGATATTCAAAATACCACACATTTGCACATGTATACATTGACAATACGTACAAAGGCAAGTTGTGTACAGTACATTTACAAAATTACAAAGTGAAGTTACATGTACAGTAAATTGACAAGTAAAGGTACAAGTACAAAGGCAAGTTACCTGTACACTGACAAGTACAAATGCAGGTTACATACACAGTACATTGTCAACAGGTACAAAGGCAAGTTGTGTACAGTACATTTACAAAAATACAAAGTTACATGTACAGCACATTTACAGAAGTACAAAGACAAGTTATAAGTACAGCAAATTGACAAGTACAAAGGCAAGTTACATGTACACTGACAAGTACAAATGCAGGTTACATATACAGTACATTGTCAACAGGTACAAAGGCAAGTACATTTGCATAAATATACAAAGGTAAACAAGTTGACATGACCTCGAGTCCTGGACATCCATGTTGATAGATATAGCTGGAATTCAGGTCATTAGTCTGGACAGCAACCAGACAGCAGGAAAAGGACAGCCACCGAACCATCCAAAGTTGTGGAACAGGACATCAAAATTGTAGAAAATGATCGCAACGTTCGAAATTGTAGAAAGAGATCGCAACGTCCGAAATTGTAGAAAAATTGCAAATGATGCATCAAAATTGTGTAATGTTTCAATTAAATAAACTGCCAGTGAACCCTAAATTAAAGGTACAAATGTTCCTAAAAGATTAGGCCACTATAGGAAATAAAGGATAGGAGAAAGGTTGGCAGGGCAGCCAAGAGGAAGCACCACAACGGCACTGAACTAACTACTGGACATCAGCCTTGACACAGCAGCTAAAACAAGGCATCCTCACAGTTCAAATTAAGCTAACCTTATCTTCAGGAGGTGAGAAACAACATGTCAGTTCAGCCCTGGTTCAACATCTGGTCCCACACACACACATAGATATGAAAGTACACACTGGAGAAATTCTACTGCTACTCTTTGTAAAATATATTTGGTGTATAACATTTTAGTTTTACATATTTTAGGCTGAACAGGGGCTATTATTGTGTACTTAACACTGACCGACAACTAGCCATTTTAGACGCAAGATTTTTTTATAAAGATTGACAGGATAGAACTAAAGATCAGCACGGCAGCTGGAAAAAAGGTCATGGCAGGAAGCCATGTTAGAGCGTACGATCAGCACGGCGGCTGGGAAAGAACAGACCTAGTGTCACTTACCTTGTATCACTTTTTAACCGCGCAACTAATCACAATTTACTACCGCTTCCTCAGGCTGATCGTCTTTCTCCAGGAGAAAAGCTGAAAGAAAAGTGGTTATGGCATGGCAGCCAGGCAACCCCCCCTGTTTTTTTGTTTTTAAACTTGTCCACATAGATTTAACTTTTTTGTTAAATTAGATGTACAGATAGTACGCACCATTGTTCAGCCATATCTCAATAAATAAATTTAGCTTCATTAGAGAAATACCAGTGCTAACGCATAATTATTAATATGTCATCTTTATTTCTGACTAAGGACAGGGACAGATGGAGGCTGACAGGATAGCCATCCGGAGAAGGAAAGAAAAATGTTTTGGACTCACCCTTTGTCGACAGGACCTAAAAAGTAATAATTGTTACTGCACATTTTGAGCCAGATCATTCACACTCAATGACTACAAACTGCTGAGCCTAAAACCACTCTAGTCATTCCAACACCCCATCACACTCTGCAGACATTCCATTAACTACAAATACTGAACCACCACGGTCAGAAACCAGAGCCAGAGCCAACATTTACCTACATGCTCAGCAGTTCCACATCCACACCATCAGAAAGGGACCAGAGTCACAACAACCATGAGCAGAGAGCCAGCCACCTGTGAGACTCCCCTGATTGGCTAACCTGTTTATGGCTCCTGCTCCAGAACCCATATTCTACAGCCTATTAACTCAAGACAAGAAAACCAGAATGGAAACAAGGACAAGAGATGTGGCCATTTACATTTTGTTTGTACTGCCATGTTTCACACACAAACACACGTACAGCCAGGCACAGCGGCCTCAAACCACAGCTGGGGAACAGCCGCCCCACAGAATGAAAGAACAACGACGTTCCTTACTGTGTTGAAGATCTTCAGGATGATCAATCTGGAATAGAAACCAAAGTCAGAGAGACTGCCGAAGTTTTGCTGTGAGCACAACATTTGTCAAATCATTTTACTTTTCTGCCCATATCCATAATTTTCTTGTTAAACAGAAAACCCGAGTTTGACTCCACAGATTTCTCACCTTGTCTTTTCTTGTCATTTTGAGAACTTCGACCTGGCCTCCGTGCGCAGAAATCCCAGCGTATCTGTTCATTTCAAACAACGAATTTAACACAACGTAAACCGTTTCTTTAAAAAAATGTACTGTAGAAGATACTGAAGCTGTACACTTTAAGTGAACGCTAAGATATTTAGCTATAGTCAACAAGTTAACACAAAACGTCACCGGTAGGGAATTAAATTCCAAAAGTGACCTTTTCATCGGAGTCGTTCATCGGGACCGGGTCGAGCCGCCATTAAGGAATAATTACGTCCACCTGTGGCTTTTCAAAGCGCGTGGTGATCTTTTCAGCGTCTGACGTCGGTCCGGAGGGCAAAGGGGAAGGTGCTTCAGCACCACCCAGTGTCTATCTGTGCACGACACTGGGTTGACGTAATAAAAAGACATCTTTACTGAATTTTAACCATGAAAAAAGGACCTGTGCATTTTCGGCATATTAGTAAAATTGTATTCATATTGAGATCCCAATATAAGATTGTATCCCATAATAGTGAGATACCATCACACAATGACGAAAGTACCTCATAATAACGACATTGTGTCTCTGTAATGATACAGTATCTCATTTTGACATAGTATTCCACTTTTTTTACCCTCGTCATAAATTGGGCTCCATAGACTAGTGAGACAAGTGATATTTATATAAAAATGCATTTTAACCACATTGCTGTAAATTGTATACTATACTGTATATATATATATATAACTTTGAATTGTACAAACAATTTACAGAACAAGTGCTTTTCCTATATTTTATTTATTAAAAAAAATACAAAACGTGTACATTTCCACAGGAAAAGTTAATGCAATTCCATCTATCTATTTGTAATGTTTGACAAACACATTGTTACACTTCTTGTATTTTGGAAGGTATAATAGCAAAAGACAATGATAATTTGATAAGAAAGAAAAAAAGGGTTAAGTCCTAAGACTCTGCAATTAAAATGTTAATCTTAAATATGTTGCTGTTCATGGCACTTTCATTGTCCTCTGAGAAAGAAAGTGAGAAATAAATATGACAAGTTAGTGTCCTAACACATGCTATGTCCTAAACATACAAATCTTTGTGAAACAGTCCAAAATCAAAGGAAACATTTGGAGATGTATAAAATGCTCAAGTATTATTATATATCAGGTACCACAACAGGAAGAAAAAAAACAAAAACCTTTATGAAGCTTTAGCCTATCATGAATTAACACTATATTTTGTCAAAAAGTGTGGGGGATTGTGGAAATTATTATATTTAATAGCAGCAATTTGAAGGTTTAGTTACCCATTGTATTATCTCGTTGCAGGTCGCAAGGTGGGGACTTCAGCTAGTCAAGGTATAGGTCACCAATTCAATATTAATGTATTAACACCTTTGCACTACTTGTTCTATCGTGATTTATTTTGAAAAGCAAATGTTCCCTTATAAGAGTTATCTTTAGTATAATGCCCTGTAAAATAAAGAGTGGGACTAAAGCTAGGGACACACTACTCTACATCTTACAGTTAGTTTAAAGACTAAGTCTTTAAAAAGACTAAGTCTTTAAAGTTAGTTTAAAGACTAAGTCTTTTTTTTGTACAATTAATCAAAGACTAGGGATTGTGTATTACAAGACCACACACTTTCATTCAAACCAACAGAAGCACTGTGAAAGCAACAAACTCCAGAGGTGAGATCAGGCCCGTAGACCTCAAACATTTGCCGATTCAACCCTTCCTCTCTCACACTAATGCATTTTTGTGCCAACTAGCCACACTGCTTCACAACCTTCAGTCTACCATTTTCAAAAAACAAAAACAAAAAGCCAGAGGCACACTAATGAACTGGTTTCAGCAGATTTCTGTATGAATGAAAACACACTCTAGTAACTGTGTTAGAAGAGAGTTCACACACTAGCATGATGCCATATCAACTAAGGCCAACTCAATTGCATCACTTCCTTGTGAAGGTGACACTTGTACATAATAAACAAACTGGTTGGTAAACCAGCAACTACATGGCTATTTTCAGAATCAGCTTTAAAAAAGGTTTGTGAATTTATACCCTCACCACCCTAAAACAAATCTGGCATAAACTTTGAAACAAACAAAAAAATATATATTAGTGTGTCCTCAGCTTTAGCTACATTTTATTGAAGGTCAATATATGGATTTGGTAGAGAAACTGGGAAATCTTGCACAGCAACACAACCCCCAATCATGGAACTGGCTTCTCTCCTTTGCATACATTTGTGGAGAAGGAGGGAAAAGAAACTCAAAAAAAAGAGCCATCTGACTGTAAGTAAGAGTGTGAGATATTATGAAATGCATTAATTTAAGCCACATGAGCCTGACAGGTTTTGGTAGGCATTTCAATGCCCTTCTCTTGTCCGCACCAGGATGAAACATCTGCTAAGCGCAAATCATCCAGTGGTGCTGGGATTCCCTGGAGACGAATCTGCTGCATGTGTTGCCTAGAAGAGTCAGAGCAGAACAAAGGGAGGAGTTCTTGTGTTAGCATGTTCACCTAAAACTTGCTTTTATATATATATATATATTTTTTTTTTTTAAGAAATCACTCACCAAGCCATTCGAGACATGACATAAGAAATTTCAGGTCTTTGGAATCCATTGAAAGTTGAAGAGGCAGCCACTGTGTAAGCACCCATGTTTTCAAAGACCAGCCAATCACCAACTTGCATGTCTGGAAGGTAACACTGTTCAACAATGCGATCAAGTCCATCACAAGTTGGACCCCAGATACTGCAAGGGTACATGGCTTCATCTGGCTTTGGTTTCTGTTTGGACATGGAGTAAAATATTTATTGTCATGTGAATTCATTTGCCTTTCATCAATGAGGGGGAATCAACCCAACAACTATATTTACCTTATGCAGTATTGGAAAACAATGAGCATGGTCATAAAGTATACAGTTGAACGACCCGTACACTCCATCATTGACATAGTACATCAAAGACTTGTCGTTGGTCTCGTCTTCTTCATCATCTAAAGACATTAAGATAAACTTGAGGACAGGAGTAAAAACAATTTAGGAACTTTTATTTTGCAGAACAAGTCTCTCACCATCAGAGGATGACTCAGAGTGCATAATGACCTTCTTGGCAATAATGTTGACAACCAGTGTGTAAGCAGATGCTACATAAAATCGCCCAGGCTCAGCAATGATTTTTACACCAGCATCGACAGGAAAATACTTGTCCAGGGCAGTGTTGATGACGGCTGTGATCTACAATATTAAAAAAAAAAAGTCAGGAAATCTACAGGACAAAAAAAAAGTATCAAATATATTCTATATGTATTCAAATGTAATGTAATCCACTGATCAAATGTAAAACATTAAAAATAATCAATCTAAAAGTCAAACCCTTGTTATATTTTTCTACTCACCTCTTCAAACTTCAGAGCAGCATCATCAGATCCAGGAAAACCTCCACCAATGTCCAGGAGATCCATTTTGAAGCCAACCTCATTCTGTTGGACAAAAGATTTGGTTAGTTTTTAATTTTGTGTAATAAAAACACTTGTTTTGTCAACAGCTTAGTTTCAGACAAAACTTACACCCATGTGAAAAACACAGCGAGCATCAGCAATGGCCTGCATGTATGTCTGCGGGTCAGTACAACCACTGCCAACATGAAAGCTGACACCAATCACATCCAACCCTAGTTCTTTTGCTCGCTCCAGAAGACCTCGACAAGCCTTAAGTTGGGCCCCAAACTTTATACTCAGCCGACACACCGATTTAGAGTCATCTGTGGCGATGCGCAACACGAGTCTGCACATAAAAGAAAGAAAATTATCTACTGAAGGGCAGAGAAAAAAAAAAAAAAAGAGAACAGAATTTATGTTTTGCAAGTCTTTACTTTGCATTATCGTGGCATCTGGCCACTTTCATCAGTTCCACCTCACTGTCAAACGTCATCATCTGGACCCCATGGGCAGAAGCATACTTGATCTGAGAAACCTGCTTGCAGGGATTGGCGTAGATAATTCTGCTTGGATCCACATTTAGAGACTGAATCAGCTGAATTTCTGTCTAAATGGGGGACACAGAGGGCAATACAAACAGTCAGTAAAGCTACAAAACAATCATCCATCAAGTATTTAGGGTTATAATCAAGTCATCAGTTATCAATTATCTATTGAGAAAATATTTTTCTGTATTTTGAATACCTTGCTGGCACAGTCAAATCCAGTTCCCAGGGACGCCAGTGTGGAGACTACCATGCGGCTGTCATTGCACTTCACAGCATAGAAGGGAGTAACACGAGGCAGAGCCCTTACCCAGCGCAGGTGTTTTTTGAGCACATCTCCTAAGTCACAGACATAGAAGGCATCTCTATCATCCTGTGACAGAGAAAAGAAAAATAGTGGCATGTAATTATAAAAGCAACCATTAATAAAAAGGTACTATTTATGTGAACACTACTGCACTTCTAATGGGAGATAAAAGAATGTTTTAGAGAGTACCAGGAACCTGACATCTGAATATGTTGACACTCATCACATTACAGGCCACACCTTATCCGTGTTTTTAAAACAATGTGAACAAAAGCTTCTTACCGTCATTGATGATTCATTAATCTTCTGCTCAACAATATCCCGGGCAGTGAAACCCTCTTCTAGGAATTCAAATTCAGTAGGACACGCAGTTGCCATGGTCATTCAGAAACAAACTGGAGAAGAGAAAGACACTAAGATTAGAGTCGGCACCTTTTGTTAAGTGAAAGAAATGTCAAACGCTGTACTATAGTGTGCTAAAAAAAGGAGACTTTACTTGACCTATTGATATGTGTATATGCAGTGTGACAACACAACACAACAGAAATTAATGAGTGACTTTACTTACACGACTATAAGAACTTAAACTTGTCTGTTCTGCTTGTTCAGGTGCAGAGAAGCCAAGGGGGTTCACCAGTAAAGTTAAACCCCTTCAAATATGACTCAAGGCCAGGGCCTACAGAGTAGCCAGAGTGTACCTTCCTAGAGTTATGATTCTAAAAGACAGAATTTAGAAAAAAAAATTAGACAGATACACACAAACACATATACATACAGTATATATTTATTATATGTACTAAATACACGCACATATGTATGACGAGTATGACTGTATATTATTTTCAATATTTAACCATTTTTCGTATTTGTTCGACTATGGAGGTAGCGTTTGTGAGACGTGCTGTTCTAACGTTATCTTATCTTTAAATTGATCCCCGGCCATTTCTGCGGTTAATCACCGGCCATTTCGGACCTATTTTACAAATATTACAAGCTGGCACCAGATGTAGCGGGGAGACACACCCGAATGTTGTATCCAATCACAGAAAGAACTGTATTGCGAAAGTTGAAACGAGGCATTTCATTGGAGTACAGCTACGTACTTCGTAATCGACGAATGAATGAACGAATCAGAGAGCGACAAAAGGCGCCGGCGTCACTATGCCGGTTCCTTCTCTAGTCCTCATGATTCAAGGCTATTAACTTAGCATTGGCAGTCTATGTTCATGGAATACCTCAAAACGACCAAACTAAACCTACAACACAATAGGCACCACATTAACACACGGAGTAGAACAGCACTAAAATATATTTTTTGTCAAAGTACAATGTATTTTTTAATCCCCACGATGAAGACTTGTAATCCTTCACCTACCTCGCCGGCCACGTTGTATTGCTAGGCTACTACCCACGACTTCTGAATAAAATGTATACTCCATATTCTATTATCGTGTAGAATGTGATCTTTAAGATAGAATATGGAATTTTCATTTTGACCGGACTGCTTGATGGAGCTACTTTGGTTTCTCTGTAGAGAAAGAAAATCCACTTTATCATTCAAAACGAGAGATAAAAATGAAAAGTATCGCTTACCGGACAAAGCATTTACGAAGTGTTTGTCCATGAGACACAAAGTCTGAGAAGAAGAGAGAAAGTCCACCACAAAAGACCGAGCTGCCACTGAAAACCTGAAACAGACGTTATCCCCGTGCCGCGTCACTATTTATACCACCGCAACGCAGCCAGCTCAAACCGGCCTCTTATCCACGTATGAACCAGTTTGGTCTTGTTAGGACGTCCCCACGTTACGGAGAATGAAAGAAAGAAATAGGGGCGGGGGAGGGAGACGGAAACACGGCCTTTCCAAGTAGTAGCTAACGCCTATAATTCTTGGTCGGTGGACGTATAGATATTTTATTTGTGGATAATTCGAGGTTTTGTTGATTAAATTAAAAATAAATACGTTTAAAGAGGTGAGAAAAATAACATATGTAAAGAGGTGATATTGTGACAAAATAAGTAAAAATAACATATGTAAAGAGGTGATATGTGACAAAATAAGAGTTTTTAGTTTGATATTGGTTGACCGATGGAGTCACCTACCTTACCAGTGGTGTCTGTGATCACAACAGAAGCATTGAGGCGATACTAAAGGCTTGAAGTGCTGCAATGATCACAACATGAAAAGGTTCCACAGTTGCCTCACAACCATGATCTTGCCAAAATGCAGTTGGGAGAGGGGATGGGGGTGGGGGTCACAGCCATTTTCTTGTGCAATAATATCACCCAATCCAACCAGTGCAACCAGCGCCAACAATTAGGGAACTAACAATGGTGTAGTCTGGTGCATTTATTCTTTAATAAAAAGTTTTTTTCTGTCACGTGTGTGTGATTAATCTGTAATTAAAACCAATTAGTTAATATAATTTACATTCAAACCAGCATTAATTCCTACAGGTGCAGTCGGGGTCACAGATTTTGTAGTGTTGAGTCAGCTAACATAAATGTGACATTCCACTATTAAACTATAAAAGTTTCAGTCTAAAATGTGTTTCTACATTAAGTTAACCAAATAAAGAGTTATCTAAAAAATAATTATCCATGACAGTTATAGTGGGAGGCTTCTTGGGACATGTGCACCACTTTGACTCTTGCTTGCAACTTCCTTTTTACAAAGGTGCACACGTTGTTGGAAACAGGCCACTTCACCCAGGATAGTTCCAGTTTCCTACCTGGTGAAGGAAGTTGTGTTGCTTTGAGGTTCCAAGCACTGTGGAGAACAGGGAGCGGTTTTTATTTACACATTTTTACAGTTTTGAGGTCTACTGTGAATTTGTACTGATAAGTTCTAAATCAATCTCAGCATGTAGTGAACTCAGACAGATTGAACAAGAGTTGTTTTAATCAATTTACTATTGATATAAAACATACAATAAGAAGAGGGTTGTTTAAAAAAAACAGTTTACCAAACGCAGTAATAGAAACACACTATAGGTGAACATCAGTACAGTCTCTGGCTGGCCATTTGGACTCCTCTAAGCTCTGATACACGTTGTCAAAAAGACAGATTCTCTGAATAAGGATGTAAACACATGGTTGAGATCATTCAGGAATAGGACACTCCAGTTCATCAGCAACTGTCACTGTCTTGTGAGTCTGAAGAAGTAAGTTAAAGCATTACTGACTTCAGGACATCAGTCCAGACATCTGAGGTGAGTTTATGACAGATTCTATTAAACTCTGATTTATGTAATGGGTGTCTCATTTTGTTTTTTTCCAAAATAACTTTATAACGGCCAAACCAGTGGCTTTCCTCAATGTCGACCTCGTCCTCCTCTTCTGCCGCCCCAGCCTCTCCCACGGCGGCTGCTCAGATGTCCAGCTGACCGCCGCAGCTGCTTCCTCTCCTCATGGTGCTCCCGCTCGGCCTGTTGCTGTTTCCTTTGCTGCTCGGACTGCAGAAATTAGACAGTTGTTAAGTAACCAGTACAATATCGATAACTTGGAAAGAAAGAAGAAAGTTTCTAGCAGCCCTTAGGCCTTATGGACAAAGGTAGGTTACCTTTTGAAGAGTAAAGGTCAACTGTTTGCTGCCCACTGCAGTGTTGGCCATGTTGCTGGTTTCTGAATTTTCTTCCAACTTTAGTCGGTCCTCAAGAGATGCCCTGGAAGATCATACACATCTTCAGTTAATACTCAGCAGTCTGATACAGTAAGAATTGTCAAACTGTACATATCTGCAACTGTGAAATCAATTATAAAAGATATGTGGAACACATTTGTATTTAACTGTTATCTGCACACTTCCAAATAAATGTCTTTGTATTACACACTTCTTTACCAATCACTGGTATAAAACTTTGAATAAAATGTAATTAAGGACATACTTCTGAAGCTTCTGCTTGTGAGTCACGTCATTAAAACTTCTGAACTCCTCCCCAGCTTTGAGTTGATAAAACTGAGGCTGAGATCTCTCCTTGCTCTCAGACTTGACTGAACTTTTCTGTCTTGCATTCTCCAACAAGACAGTGTTACGGTCAACATTTTTCCTCTCTTGTCGTCTTCGCTCCCAGTCTTCCTGCCGCAGCAACCTTCGCTGCTCCCTCACCTCCTCCACCCAGCTCTTGTCGTCATCTGAGCTCTCTTCCTCTGAGCTGGCTTGACCTTCGGGCTCATCCTCATCTTCATTCATCTGGAAAAGACATTAACATGTAGAGGTGTGTAAATAAAGAGTATTTATCTAGCGCTCTTTTTTATTTTTAGTGCTCAATTACAGTATTGTCACTCATCCTTTAACACTTATTTAGCTGCACACTGATAGTACAGTGAATAGTTATGTGAAGTACCCGATACAGTTTACACTAGTGGTGACCGCTGATAAAGGAAAAGCTGACATTTTTTTCTCTACCTTTGAAAAACAATAGCCTCCCAGTTGAAACCGAGTTGAGAGTAAACACAAACTGACAATAAAATCCAACGACACAACTGATATTGCATTACCTTCTGTAAGGAGGCAGCTTGCTGAGCCAGCAGGCGCAGCTTTTTCTTGTTCTTGAGTCCAACTTTGGAGACAATGGGGTTGAGTAGGCGGAATTCTTCACTCTGTTCGTCTACCTGGTAGTCAGGGTTCTCAAACATCACCTTAAACCGGTCATCACTCAGGATGTTGGGGACAGCCTTTAGTTTGACAAGAATGACAAATAAATATATATGCAGTTTACAGTTACATATATAGACAATCAGTTTCACATGTATGCATATTATTCTGTGTATACATACATATACACATATGAAAATACAAAAACAAACACCTAGACATTATATTTGGTTGCCTACCTTGCCCTTCTTTGTCCTCCTGGCCAGTACTGCTTCATCTTCACCATCCTCCATCAGCTTGAGTGCCAACTCCTTGTTTACTTTAGGTAGTTTCTGTCTCAGCAGAACAACATAATAATGATTAAATAAAAACCACTTAGACTAATTAGTCCACAATGATATCCCTGAAGGGCAAACAGAAGTCTGTGTGAGAAGACATCAATTGCCAAGCCTTAAAAATACAGACAGTTACAGTTTTTTCGGTATAGTTTCTGTTTATACACAGAAACTGTAAGTCGTGAGGTGATATGGAGAAGCAGACAGAAGGATAGCAACAAAATCGACAAGAGGCTATGGCTAAGATGTTTGGAGATAAGGTTAGAGAGGCAACGCTGAAATGATTTAAAGTATGGTTTAAGCCCAAGGCGACATGAAGATGGTGTAACATGCAAATGATCTCTGTCACGATCTCTCACCTTGATCTGCACTCTCTGAGTTCTTGCCTCCTCAATCTTCTGTCGAATCTTATCCTTGCGGTACTCCTCATAAGCAAAAGGGTTGACCATGCTTTTGACCTGTAGAAGGGAAACGGAAAATGTCAAAAGTAGAGTAAAAACTTGGACAGATTCTGAGCAGACAAACAACCAACGCCATACCTTGTGATAAAGACGTATATCCATGAAGAAACCATGCATGTAAGCTCTTAAAAGAGATGATCCAATCAGGTGAGATAAACCTGACACAAAATGGAGAAGCAAAGTCATTCAAAATGTAGAAGTAATCCAGCTTATTATTGTGAAGAGTTAAAACATAATAAGTGAAAAAACATAGATCCTTATTATTGTGAAGAGTTAAAACATAAGTGAAAAAACATAGATGGATTTATTCCAGTTTTAGTCCAGCTAACAGATCTCTCTAATGTAAAATTACCATTATTTACTGGGTGAAGGTAGAATTCCAGAATTGAAGGGAATAAATGGCTTTTTTTTCTTTTAGGTCTAAAAAGCATGTTCTCAAAACACAACATGGACATAAAATCATATTACATATTTAAAATACACAAGTTATTAGTTTTACTAAGATATTAGTAAATACGTGTCTACCTGGGATAAAAAACATAAAAATGTGAAAATGAAAATAAGCTGCAAGGCTAGGGCAGGAAACTAATGATCCTTTTCCTATATCTACTGTATATTCCATGCTGTACATGAAATAGTCACTTTTAAACTTAAACTTAAAGTGACCGTGGTCAGCGCCCGGGGAGCAGTGCTTGAGGACGATGCCATGCTCATGCTGGCAGTTGGTGGATTCGAACCTGGGGCCTTCCGGACCGAAGTCCGCTTCCTTTACCACTAGGCCACCACTGCCTCAGTAATTGTTTTAATCGTTCTATGCTGTACATGAAATAGTCACTTTTAATCGTTCTTTTACACCCTCATTTCCAGAAGTCAAGAATAGATAGCATTTACGACCAGTAGCAGCATTCACTCTATCGTTAAGTAATTCTGTGGTGCAATCAAGATTAAGTGGAAACACACTAAAACCTGCTTCCATTTTATTTTCCCAACCTTTAACTATCCCTGTCATTTATTTTAGTAGATACGTGAACTTTCCACATTCTGTCTGTATTTTGCTATTTTCTCCCCTTCTGATACTTATGATCATATCTTGAGGGAAGTCCTCAAGATGAAACATTTACTGATATTTACCAGTATTAAACAGACAGACAGACAGGAAGAACTTTGTTCATCCCCTGTTTTTTCCCTTCAGGAAATAAAGCAGCTTAAGCTCTGCAAACATGCTGGTGCAGGTAAATAAGAGCGTAGGCAAAATTTCTAGAAACACTCATCTGTGTGCCTTCCACTAACTGCAGGTTACATAATAGTGTGATCCTACTCCGCTTCTGTAAGTCAACACCCATGTTTGGTGTGTCCGCCCCTCCTCCGCTTTTAAACTCGCCTCAACCGACCGCCCTCTGCTTCTTGACATTTGATCCGTTCCCAGCTGAGGCTGCATTCCAATGTTCATTCAAGCCTTCCAACTCACCACTCCCTCCACGCGTGGTATGCCCATCCTCCCCCACACCCATTACTTTCTTTTATCTTAGGTTTGTCAATCATTCCCTAGTCATTTATTATGTAATCCTCTGCTTCTGCTCCTTAAACTCATTAAAATTGCACAAGGAACAAAGCCATCCTAATGATTTTCAGTCTTGAACTATTCTTGCCGTCACTTTAGATAGCTGTAAACACCTTTACCTTTGGAACAGCTGCTTTAACTGTTGTTGGAACCTTCCTAAGATAAAGTAACTGTCTTCACTCATTTCTTTTTCATCTACATTCACTTTGACAGTGAAGGGTGTCAATAAGGGTTGACAACAGTATCTATAACATCACAGCCGAGGTTATAATATATATATATATATATATATATATACACACACACATGTGGTGTCTGATATATATATATGTGTACATGTGGTGTCTGATATATATATATGTGTACATGTGGTGTCTGATATATATATATGTGTACATGTGGTGTCTGATATATATATATGTGTACATGTGGTGTCTGATATATATATATGTGTACATGTGGTGTCTGATATATATATATGAGCTTATATATTTAAGCTAAGGCTAGTTTGAATGCAGAAATGTAAGGAGTTTTGACTACATTTATAGCACACTCCACAGGTTAGAGCAGGGAACTACAGGCTCTACATTAAAAGGTCGTGTGAAATATTGCCATGTCCTCCTTATAGTTTCTTTCAGTTTTATGCCAAATGCAGGACAATACGACATGTATGCTGATTGACAATAATTCATTAAAAATATTTATTATATACTGTGATTCATTTTTCAATATTAAAAAAAACTAAATTGATTAAGCTGGGGCATTTAATTAAAAAAAAAAATTAACTCTCATGCAGCATTGTAACAAGAAAAGAGGTTTACCAAGATTTTCCAGGTCCTTCCGGGTGACAAATTTGTAGTCATCATACACTGTACTCTCTGGGCTCTCCTCCAACTCCTCTGTCAGGTTGTCTAGGAAGGAGCACCAACGCGGTGCAGGGCCCAAGGCCTGGACAAACGCATACAATTACATACAGTATGTTCAGGGTTCAACGTCATCTGAGTACAGACAGTATTTATCCAAACAGAAATAGACACAAATCAATCCTCACAGCGGCCGCTTTGTCATTTGTCATGTTCACTTACAGCTTGTCTCTTGCATGTATATATGAAGGTATGGAAGTATGTATGTATATTCTGTCCTCATTTTTATCCTCTTGTTTATGTATGTGCTCATACTTGGCCAATAAAGCTGATTCTGATGAGCATGAATCCATTTTATAACCAATATGAAAGTGACTCTTTTTTTTATTTGCACAAAGCCTAGATTTGTTCAGGGATATCATGCAACTGTTTGGAATTCTTATCTTAGTGCGGGGGTGAGCCAGGGTGGAAAGTTGCCAATTAACACTGAATGTGTTTGGTCTATAATGTGGGGCCAAAGTTCATGAAATGCCACTGTTCTTTTTCATCAATAATCTGCAGGTAAACTGCATTATGTAAGGATGTGATGTCAGTTTTCCAACTCAGGACATTTTAACACATGTTGCTCTTACAAGTGGTGTTTTCTGTGGAAATCTCTCTTAATCAAAAGTAGCTCTGGGATAAGTAAATAAAATGTCACCAAGAATCAGGGCAACTGGATGTCTAAAATATTGTAATAAACTGAATGGGGCAGTGGTGGCCTGGTGGAAGCAGACTTGGGTCTGGAAGGTGACTGGAGACTACCAGCTGCCAAGATGTACACACTGCTGGCTGGGTGCTCTGCTTGAGCTGACCCCATGTCACTGTGGTGATTGGTTAAAGACAAAGGTCACATTGTGTGCAGTGCTGTGTCACAATGACAAGAAATTCACTGTCAACATTAGACAAAGAGACCTGCTCTACACAGCTGCCAGTGTTGCCACAACACATTTGAAGCCACACCATCATAAATAAATCCATGATTTATGGCACACGTGCAAAACTGTCTCATTCTAGAAAAACATTTTTAATTTCTAAATTTTTAAAAATATATTTCGATTACGCAATTGTGTTAATCCTTCAGTTGGAACAAGTCCTTGTGACATGGGCAAGGTCCAAGCTTAACCTATAACTTACATCTATAACTTACGTTAATTGGTAATCTATTTTATTTTTCTCAGTTTCTTCAGTCTGTGACTGTATAACCTGTTTATTTCTTATCGTCCTGATGGGCAGTACTTTTATTCCTAGTCTGTGGTTGGGGTGCCGTTTAACTCTAAATAGCTTATAATAGCTTAAATATCTGTTTCCCCTTGATTGTAGCGTCTCTTTTTTCCCCAATGTGAACATAGAGCTTACAAAGTTTGGTAAGTTAAGTGGGATTGTGTTGAAATAAATTATAAAAACAGTGGTGGTAACCTTGTTGTGAAATCTGGACCAGCAAAACATATTTATTTGTCGACTCACCGGAATGTAGAATATGTTCATCTTAGGATCCTCATTAGCCGTGAAGAGCAAACCTGTCAGCATACAGAACATAGACTCTTCAAAATGTCACAGCTGACATCTATAGCATATATTGGTGACACAGAAGCCATGGACACTGCATAAAGATCTCAATTCATAAAGCAAAACACCAAGGTGTAATATTTTGTATTCAGCTAAAACATTGTTCATTTTCATAGCATTGCAGTGTTTATTTATATAATGAATTACTTTTAATGTTGTTGGATAACATTTTGTATCAGTGGTTCTCAAACTGTTTGTTTTGGTCATTCCCCATACGTGGGGATTTCTAAACCCCACCTGCCCCCGGTGGCCCAACAAAGAACTTGACAAATAAAAAATGTACCGAACCAACACCAAGTGAAGTCAAATTTTATAATTATTCAAAATCAATAACATCAAATAACACAAAACTCAAAAATGTAAAATACAATGCTGCCCAACCTGGTATGTCTACTAACAGTAACAACAAATAATAAATTAAATAAGCAACAGTGAGACTGTACCTGACTGAGGGTAGATGCACACGTCATTGATGTTGGCCGGAGGTTCTATGGAAGAGAACACTTTACCCTGTGGTGAACAGACAGAATTGAAAGGAGATAAATGGTAAAGAACACATTTTCAGTCTTGCCATCTTTGACACACATTATTTAAATTCTGTTCCTTGTCTAATAAACCAAATCTACAGACACATACAGTATCTAAGCGATAACAGACCCATTGGTCTTTATAATTCTGATGAAATTTTAAAAAATGTTACGGTTGAACATTACGTGTGTTTTATAGTATGGTTTTGCAGAAACACTTTTTTCCTAGTCAGAATGGAACCTGGATATCCGTCTATAATTGCACTCACACACTGAGGGTGGAGGTCACACGATGCTGTATTTTAACTTTGCCTGTGTTTGTTCTTACACTGTCTTTGTTCCACATTTTTATGATCTTGGAGTCAGCAGACATGACCAGATCCAGCTGATCATGGAAATGGAGGGATTTGATTGGCAGGTTGTAGAAATGGTCTTTAACCAACAGAGGCTGACTGGAGCGCAGATCATACAGCAGAACCTATGAAAGAAAGTCAAGGATGTTCAAATCAGGTTTTGACTGTGAGGAATGTGCTTTTTTCTCAGATATACTACATCCAGTACCGTATTTTCAGGACTATAAGTCGCAGTGAGTATAATTCACAAACCCAGCCAAAGGATGAAAAATAAGTGAGACTTACAGTCCAGAAAATATAGTAAGTAATTCATAGTCAATATAACACTGTTAACAGACACAACAGAGGAGCGAGGGTACATTACTTCACAGTGTGAACACAAATGTAGAGTCAGACTAGTGTCACTGTGCAGTGAACACCATATTGATGGACACACATGAAGGGATTAAGCATACGCTCATTTTTAAAACAAGAGTTTCCCTCACCTGTCCTGAGCCGGTTCCAACTGCCATCGAGAGGGAGTTATTAAACTTGAGTGCAGTGACAGAAGGCAAGGCCTGAACTCTGTTGACAAAAAGAAAAATACAAAAAGACATGTTACAAAAGAGAGTGCATGAATGAATTGACCAAACGCCATTGTTTATGGCAAAATTAATTGTATCTGTGGTTAATATTCATTATTATGAAGAATTCTATCTCCACTGTCAGGTCTTAAAAAAAAAGAATGCTGTTGAAAATAAGTGCCTATTAATGGATGCACATATAAAGGTCAGAAACAACAAATATGGTCAAAACTATTTCAACAATAAATATGTCACAGGATGAAAAACTAAACACGAGGCTGTAAAACAGAGGCCACAGTTCAACACAAAGCTCTGTTTCTATTATACTGTGAAATAACTGTAACATCCTCTCAGGTTTGCTACCATATTATATTATATTATGTAGGTTCTATTAGTATGCATTTTTTAACAACAAGAAGGGCTGCAACATCGTAATAATTTTTGGACATTTTAGCCTTGTTCATAAATGTTAAAACAACTTGGTGCTTACTCTGTTCCTTCTCTGATGCTGCTTAAGGCACAGTCCAGTGTGCCCACTCTGTTTCGGACACGAGGATCCCAGCATTCAATCCTCCCCTGGTGACCAAACACATCTACGGGTCAAAACTTTTGGCAATCCTCCCCTGGTGACCAAACACATCGGGTCAAAACTTTTGATATCTAGGCCAAAACACACATCTACCTAAGGCTTAACTGCTGCCTCTCTGTGTTTCTCACTAACCCTTACTAACTACAGTTCATACATTCAAGAGAATTTATTCAGGCAGGAGACCACTATTGGCCGAGGTGTGAATTACACCCCGCTGCTTTTCTTACTGCACACAGTACAGTCTGTTTAAAACCAAACAACATCAACGCGGGTTAAAAGTTCTTATACATTTGAAAGGAAACAGAGATTTTAGGAGACTGTGGTGGCAGGGAGGGTGGATGGTCTAACTGACAGAGATAACAAATGAGAGAAATTAGATAACTAATGTTTATTAACATTACTTTTATTTTATGGTCAAACGACTTGTGGTGTTTTCTTTTGGACGCCAGGACTCAGAGCCAAACATTAAGTCAACTATCAACTTCATTGGCAGTTACCTCAGAGGAGCCAGTGGCAATGAGGTGATGGACAGGGTTTATGTCGCACACGTTATTCTCCCTGAAACAGCAAAGAAAAACAATTCTTTAACCTCTGTTTAGCTATGAAGTCATCATTTTAGTGCAGGCTTCATCACAGCAGTACAACAATGAAATCATGTTCACCTGATTTAAGGTGCAATGTTCTGTCATGTAATGTTATGTCATGTAGCATGTGCTAAAGCTGAATGCTTGTTTGCCCGTTTGTCTTTCTGTAACAACATTCAGGACATCTGGGTGGAACAAACTGTTCAAAACTTACACAGCTTCTGTCTGTAGTGAGTTAAGAAAACGGCCTTGTTCCAGGTTCAGTCGGAAAACCTCTGAGCTGAGAAAAAAAATTGTTGTTTATTGAACAGCATGGGGTAAATAACAGACTTGACAGATTTGTCAAAGTCACATGCACTTTTACCTGGTACCCACAAAGAAGAGATCACAGGAGGGGTAATGGTAAGAGAAGGCTCTTCCAAAGGTTGGAATACGAGTCTTGTAGTAGTGGCCATGTTGTGAGTGAAACTCTACGTAGCGGTCACTGTGCAAAAAAACCAACTGCAAAGATGCACCCAAAAAACACGGTAAATAAAATAAAGGTTTGCATTAAGATCAACGAACACATAACTGATTGTCCTTGCAGGCTGATATTAAAAAAAGTGAGTCATGAGTTATGAGTACACTCAATTATGAGTGTAATTTTAGTGAGTCAAGCTGCAATTGTAATGGTAAATACATTTTTTAACCTCTGTCTTCAACAGTTCAAGATTACATTTCTGATTCTTATGTACGTACCTTGGAGTAGTCATCAGACAGTATGTCAAAGGCCACAACTATGGGGGGAAACAGAAAACAATCTTGTCAAATTTTGCTCCTGCAGACTTGCGAGCCAAGTGTTGATGTCTGTGGACTTACCATCTGAATCCAGACAGCGCTCAAACTTCAAGGACAGCTGATAAGTGTCGTAGCAGCGGACCCTGGGCTTATAAGTTCCTGAAATTATTTACCAAAAGAACCAAAATTAGAAACAAACCATATAAGTGTTTATTTTATAAAGAGTGTACGTAAACACCACTTTTGTTGACTGCTCAGTTTACCTGCTGCCAAGATGAAATGCCCATCTCTAGATACTTTGATGGAGGTGCACACAGTGGGCATCTCAAAGTCTTGGATGAGCTCAATCCTGCGCTGAATATCTGAATTTAAAAATAAAAGTGGTAGAGTTGATAAATGCATATGTGTAACAATATGTGTTAATATATGTATATTTACAGTAAACACAATACATACATATAGTACATTTACAGTAAGCACAATATTCCACACATCCGCCCTTTTGCGGCTGCCTTTTCTTCCAATCTGACAGCCACTGAATTGAACAGGGGCAGATAATAAGAAGGAAAGACAAAATTTATTTATTTTATTTTAGTTATTCCATACTTTATGGAATATAAATTGGAATACAGCTCTTTTGTAACTTAGGTCTAATTAAATAAAGGGACAATCTTACGAAGAAGTAGATCGTGATTAAATAAAGTAAAAAATGTTGTGTCGACAATAATCGGCCAATACACATCACTTGAATCATTTATCATATCTTAACACACTTAAGGAGACTGTGGAAGAGATGTGAAGAATAAAGTGCAGGCAGGATGGAACAGCTGGAGAAAAGTGTCAGGAGTGATCTGTGACAGAAGAGTGTCAGCCAAGGTGAAGGGAAAGGTTTACAGGACGGTGGTGAGACCAGCCATGATGTATGATTTAGAGACGGTAGCAATAGGCAGAAGACAGGAGGAGGAGCTGGAGGTGGCAGAGTTAAAGATGCTAAGATTCTCTTTAGGAGTGACAAGAATGGACAGGGTCAGGAATGAGGTCATTAGAGGGACAACACAGACAGGAAGGTTTGGAGAAAAAGCTAGAGAAGCCAGATTGAGATGGTTTGGACATGTGCAGAGGAGGGACAGTGGATACATCGGTAGAAGAATGTTAGAGATAAAGCTACCAAGTAGGAGACAAAGAGGAAGGCCAAAGAGGAGATATATGGATGCAGTGAGGGAGGACATGCAGAGAGTTGGAGTCAGAGTAGAAGATACAGAGAACAGGGAGAGATGGAAATCAATGATTCGCTGTGGCAACCCCTGAAAAAAAGGGACAAAGCCGAAAGAAAGGGAAGAATTATCTCCTACTACAGTATAACCGTAACCATTGACTTACACTGATTTATTATTATTATTACCCAATTGACATGATTGCGATAAAACCGCTGAACTATCGCATACAAAAAAGAAGTTTGTAATCAGCTGTGTTAGAACCAGCCAGACAACTATCATTAACATCACGTAACTTCACTTTAGAATACTGTAATGTTACTTACTTCCGGAAGAGACTTGCCGTGACTTAAATTATAAATCTTTGCATCATTTACGCTGGATACCTGCATTGTAAAAAGAAAGACAACCCTCGTTACACATAACACTAGTACTACACACGAGTGAAATGAACCCAATGCACGTTGTTAGAGCGGTGCAATAACAGGAAGTGACGGTGAGTTTCTCCGATATACACCCGGGCAGAAACTGTGATGACTGGTTAACGTTCCTATACTAAATTCTTTAACCTGTTAAAAAAAGAGAGAAAGAAACAAAGAAAAAAAGAAAGAAAAAATCATTAAAATAAATGAATAAATAAATAAATTAATGAAATAATATATATATATATAATTATTTGTTTTTTATCTTCTAGCATTATTTCATGTAATATTTTACATTTATAATGATTTTTTATATATTTTGAATGTTATTATATTTATTAATATTATATATATTTTTAAGATTTTTTAAGTAAGTCAAATCTAAATATTACTCATTTTTTTAAATTAAAAAACCTGACTTGATTCTTAAAATGGACCAATTTGTATTTTAAAAATATTAAGAACCCCTGCAGTAGAGAGCATGTGCTTCGTCTGTCCAAAAAATGTCTGGCCCATTATAGAGTGTATTCAGACAACAATCAAACATAAGACATAAAACTCTTATGTAGTCAAAACCAAATTAAAACTAAACAAAACATCAAAACAGAACTAATTTCTTCCATCAGTTACTAAACCATTGAACAGTGTCACTGAAAGACCCACAGTGTCTCATCTTTTTTGAAGTTTGATGCAGATATCTCTTTTAAAATAAAATAAGAACAAAATGTGTAATTGAATTGTACTACTAGAAAAAAATTGCAAAAAAAGTAATAATAACCTAATCATCTTAAAGGGTTCTGATGGAAGTTATTTTCCAGTATAAACATTCTCTGTGTTGTTATTCTTTCACAACATTGAAACCTATAAAAGTTTTAAACAGAGAGCACAGTGTTGTTATTTGTGACTGTACCTGTTCAGTTCACTTGTAGTGATATAAGAACCTGAACCAGTGAGTGGCTCTCAGTTCGCCTCAGGTGCAGCTGCTGCTCACAACCATAAGAATGACTTGACGGTAGGAGCCTCTGCCTATGAGCTAATGGCTTTTTTCCTTTTTGAATTCTCATTTTATGTAACCTACTTATTTAAAAATAATTACTTGGGTAATGGACAAATATATTTTATAAATGTCTGTCCTGTTAAATTTCATTTTAGTGATATTAATATAATTTTTTTTGTTTGTTTGAACAGTTAATGTTATGAATGGATAGAACTTTATTAAGAAGAAAGAAAGTAAATGTTTGTTTGTTCCTGATTACAGTGCGTTTGGCACTAATGTCAATTTGTGTTGGACAGAATTAAGACTGGGCTTCCACTGTGCAAATGCTGGCCGTCATGGCAGATTTATGGTTGATCTCTGTCCCATTGGACAAGACTAGTTCATCCAGTGTAGAGCAGCTCAAACTATCCATCGCCAAAACCAATCAAGCTTCTTGCTGTAAGTTCTCCATTCCAGATCTTAAGGTGAGACTACTTGTTATTTTTCTCCTAAATGGACCAAGTAAAAAATGAAAAAAAAAAAGTGGGGAAAGTTGCAGTTTAAATTGACTTTCGCGCTAATTCAAGTACAGTAGAATGAGTTTCCGAAGAATGAGGGTGTTTGGTGTCCTTCTCAGGTTAGAGCATAAAGGCTCATGTTGCTCACCACGGTTTGAGACGAAAATTCCATCTGACCCATTTTGCAGGCTAATGTTCATCTGGACTATAAGGGATCGTTGTCTAATTGCAGTATCTTTATCTTTATCAGTTAAGAACATAAACAAGAGAAAAAAGCTGGATTGTCCTTTGATTGTATTATGTAAACACAGGAATGTCAAACCATCCAGTCTCCTCTAATGTATGGCTTATACTATGCTGCAAAAGACAGATATAGGAAAGTTTATTACAGTAAGTGAATAGTTTATATACTTCAAAAATGAAGTTTTTAAGAGGTCAGTCAGTCACATCCACTTCCTCCCAATTTTTAGCTGTGGTTTATTGTGTTGTTCGATAGTGTAGTGATTATCATACCTGCCTAACACACAGAAGGTCCTGGGTGTGAGCCCCAGAAGAATCACATACTCAATAGCGCCACAGGAGACTGAATTTCCCCACTGTGGAAGAACAGGGCACTTCAATTTCTTTATGATAACAAAATATTAAAGGAACGCATATTTGACGCATACATTCATAAACATTCATAAACACCTGATAAATGACACAGTGAGCTTAGTGAATTGGTGTAAAGGTGAAATTCTATCAGTCCTAGTATGACTGGGCTGTGTTGTGTTAACTCTGACCTCAGGTGGGGGTCCTCGACAGTTTGCTCAGTACGTCGGAGAATCTCTTCAGGCTAGACACACTCACTGAAAGGTAAAAAAACAAAAAAAACAAAACAAATCCAAACCCATGTATACATGCTGCGTCAGTGCACATTGCTCGTGGTCACTCATTACACATTTGTTCCTTTAATGTGCACATTTGTCATTAATTAAGACCAGTAACTCTAACCGTGTGTGTGGTCTGGTTCATGATTAATTGATGGTCCAGATCAGCTGACTGTTGGTTGGTTTCCCTCTTGAGTTTAAATCCACTGGTGGTATATGATCTAACATCATCTGTTTACAACCTAAGCCAAAAAGTCGGAAACATACAATTTACTATAAAGAAATAGAGAAATATTCAGAAGTAAGTTCTATGTTGGCAAAGGCCAGTCATGAAATAAACATATGTCTATTAGGTACGTCTATCTGTTTATTTTAAATCTGAATATTCAAAGATTGAACTTTATTATTTAGTATTTTAAAATCTACAACAATGTATTACATGTAAAGCTATTATGCTAAATTCTGTGTTTTGTTCCCTGGTCAGTGTGATCAAAAAAACACGTCAGTGCATCAAAGATGTGATGGGACAATCTCCAGACAACATGGTGCAGAAGACCTCCGTCAGCAGAGGTGAGCCTCTACTCCTGTACCCTCCTGTACTACCCCAACGCCACACACACATGCATACACTGGTGGACTTAATACAGTTACAGACTGTGAATGATTAGAACTAAAAAAAAGTCTATGTGACCCCTTCAAAACAATGTCAAATATTAGATTTTTTAAATTTACCCAAGTAATAAAAGCTAAATTCTCAATTATTTGTCCCCCCCTGGGGACAGAAATGTTTTTCCACCCCCGGCGAATTGAAATACTATTGAGAACCTAATAGCATGTATACTTTTATCTGCACAAACCACTGTATTAGTTTCTGCCACCTAGTGGCTGGAGGCATGTTATCATTCAAGCACTACAGCAATGGTACACTGAGGGGCTGCTATATTCCATAGGCAGCACCTCACAGTTCCCCCGAGGGGGGCCCGCCCCACTATTTGAATACTGTAGTAAAGGTTTAGGTTGAACTCTACTGAAATATATATGACTTTTGAAATGAGCAACAGCAGTTTTCTTGTTTAATAGCAAGTAAAATGTTGCTCAACAAAAACCTAACTAAAGATGTATTTTTTCCTCATCAGACCACAACATTGAGAAGAAAGTCGTGGTGTCACCTTTGAAAGCCTACCTGCAGTCTGTGAGGGGTATTTGTTTTGTTGGTTTTTTTCCCTTTAGAGTATAGCCTGAATAAAAAGTTTGTCTTTGCAGTGGTTTACTTCTTTTAACGGATGTTGTTGTTACACCATGTTCATGTAGATGTATTTTTTTTCAACGAGTTTTGATACTAAGGTAAACCATTTGTGTTTCAGCTGAAATGATGAGCTGTGTGACGAGGTTCCAGTGGGACAAGGCTAAGTATCCCACAGCTCTGCCGCTCTCTAGTCTCGTCGATATCATCAACAAGGTGCTAACTACTGCTAACAGAGCTAATTTTAATTTCTGTATTTTAAAGTAGGGATGTACGCAATACATACAATACTTAGCAAATGACTCTACATCTAATGTCACATTGCTATTCCACATAAACAAAGAAAAAAAACACACGTCACTCAACAGGAAGCTAATGTGTATTAAAGCAATCGTAGCCCCCATCCTCTCCCACTGCCTAAAGCTCACCATCCAAAGTAACTCATTGACACAACATAACTCAGCAGCCACAGAGCATGCCCTTCTAAGATGAACCCGAGTTTCCTGATGAAAAAGTAGGATAAACAGTGTTTATCTTCTGTCTCAGCCCATCGTCTTTTTGTGTTTCAGGATGTCTCCCAGGTAGAGACGGAGTTGACATCTCGAGCTGCAGCATATAGTAGCTTAAACACCAGCCTGCAAAGCCTAGAATGCAAGTTAGAGTAAGTTACTTTGACATATATTCAGAAACAAATACATTAAAAATATCTGTCATACTAAAATGGCTGCTCTCCTAGTGGTGGTTTGCTCACTCGCAGTCTGAATGGCATCATAAGAAAAGAGGACCTGGTTGTGTCAGAGTACCTGACGACTGTTCTGGTTGTAGTGAGCAGGTAAGTGTGTGAGTACACCAGTACCAACAGTATTTGTAGATGAAGAATTGAAGAAACTGCAGTGTACTTTGTTGTTGAATTGTTCTCCTTGTTGACAGAGGAAGCTACCTACAGTGGGAGAAGACGTATGAATCTTTGTCAGAGTTTGTTGTTCCACGGTCCAGCAGGTGAGACACAGACACAGACACAGACACAGACACAGACACACTGACATACCACTGGGGAACTCTATGTCTATGTCTGTCTGTGAGGTTTTCTCTTAAACTAAGCTAATGTACAAAAAAAGTAAATAATCAGAATAGCACAATTATATATCTTTATTTAGATTACAAAGTGATATATCTGTACTGTCCTGGATGGATGGATGGATAGACAAATAGACAGACAGACAGATATGCTGGTCATTGAGATAGTATTTTCTGCATGTACTGTACATTAACTGCTGGTGTATATAATATGATATATACATATATACGTATATAGTGTATATTCCAATGGTATTCTTTATGTTTTTCTTCTGCTAAGTTAAACAATTTTCTGGTGTAATTTGTGTGATCACTGTCCAGGAAGCTGTATGAAGATGGTGAAGGGGGCATTTTCTCTGTTACTCTCTTTAAAAGAGCAGTGTTTGATTTCAAAGCCAAAGCCCAGGAAAAGAGGTAAGCAGCACAGATGTCCACACACTTGGGCTCTGCGTCTGACAGAGCTGCTGTAAGTGTCATTGATCATAGTACAGCCTCTGATCCACACAGGTTCACTTTGCGTGAATACAGCTTTGATCTGGAGGAGGAGAAGCTGCAGGAGAGGAAGCAGCTTTCTGTTTACAAGAATGAACAATATGTGATTCAAACATCCAATCTCTCTCCAGCTTTTTGTGGGAATGGCAGTGTTTATAATTAGCATGTCTTCTTCACAGGGAACTTTTGTACGTTGGCTAAAGGTTAATTACAGTGAGATGTTTACAACCTGGATTCACCTGAAAGCCCTCAGAGTGTTTGTGGAATCAGTCCTCAGGTCAGTGCGTGTCAAATCGATCTTGGTACAGAATACAGGGGGTCCTTGGTTTACGACATCCTCCACCTACAGCGTTTCATCTCCCATAAATTAAATGAAAAAGTCTTCATAATTCCAAGAGATGGTGCTAATGTACAAACGTCTGACTAAAAGTTTACTATATACCATACCTATGCTTTTACTAAGACTAAGTACAAAGGCTACATTCAGACAGTTGCTTTAAAATGGCAGGAGATAAAAAAAAAAAAGACTAATGACTATTTGACTTTTCAGATATGGACTACCTGTACGCTACCAAGCTCTGCTGCTACACACTGACAGTAAGTCCTCGAGAAAAGTCAAAGAAGAACTTGCCTCACTCTTCAGGCATCTGGACCCCACTGCTAATGTCAAAAGCAACAAATCAGATGTAAGAGGCTAAATCCCCTACAATGACTAGTTAATATGTTAAATTCTTTGACCTCTCTTTAACCTGGCATGACAACTGTTATTTACAACTGTGGTCTGGCTTCTCTTTAACACACCGTGGTCTCCTTATCTTATGAATCCACTTTGTGAACCCCTTCCCTGATTAATGTCACAAAAGCATGTTGACACAATGTTGTATTAAGAAAGAAGAAAAGTCTGGAACTAGAACAGCATTCACAATGGCTATTGTAAGGCACTGCGTTTTAAATGACGCCTATCTCTGTGTAATTTGTGTGTGTGTGTTATTTCTTCGAGCAGATTTGTGACATCCCGGGACTCTGTCAACAGGAGTACTTTTCCTACGTCTGCTTTGACATCAACACCAAAGTGCTGGAGATTACTGAGCAGTCAGCAAGTGTGAGAGGAACCCACTGCAGCATCAAGCAGTGACAGTGCTGTTACCAATGTTCTCCACTTTATTTCTAGACAATAAGAGCAGAGAGCATTAGAATCTAATTAGACACTAAGAATAATACACTTCTAGCAGAGAATTTTTTTTTTTTAAATGTTTCATTTAAGACAGAAGGAACAGGCAGCTTTAAACTGAAGTGGATGGGGTATGGTATTCATTACATTATTTAACCCTTCATAAAAAGAAAAACTATGAACATGTTGATTTGTAATTTATCTAAAAATAATATTATTGTTGATTTTATTCCACAGTTTAGAGCACCTTAAATGAATGCTGGTATCTTTTTAGCCAACAGTCCGACATGTCTGCTTTGCTTCCCTCCAGCTTCTTATCTGCTGACCGCCTGTTCCACCTCCTGTTATCTGCTCTCTGTACATGTATTAATCCCACCATTATTAACATCTTTGCTAGTTGGTCAAGCCCCGTTGTATGTTATGATGTTATGTACTTTACTTTAAGTCAATCTTTAACCTACACTGTGTGACTGTGTTCTCCATATACTGTGAGTTCTAGAACAGGGATTCCCAGCTACCGCTAGGGGGTGCGCGAGGTACTACAAAAAGTCTGACAATAAAGACGTGTAAATAAACATTTCCTTTGTAAAATGTAAAATCAAAAGCCGACATTTTAATTATTAAATAAATGCAGACTATATCTGTGTGTGTGTTATATGTGTGTTCTGATGATTTGGGCATGATTAAGCATGCTGGATTTATACGAAAGTTTGCTGCATTCTTTTGTAGCTCTGGGGAATTGGGGGGTGCATATACGTAGAAGGGGTACGCAGATAAAATGGGAATTACTGGTCAAGACCAATAAAATTCAGTGTCTCACAATTAGCATTTTGCTTAAGGTCTTTGACTGAGTGGCATTGGTGTCATAGTTTACTCTTAAAACTCCAGGGCAGAGCAAATTGCTCGTTTGTCTAAATCCCTTGTTGTCATGCTCCTAGAGGGCATGACAACAAGGGAGGTCCTGTGACTTAAGTCAATACGGGTCATGCAATAGTCAAGCCTGAATGCATACTCAAATGACCTGCCCTTGTTGACATTCACAAATTGTCATCATAATCTCTCTCATAAAACACCCTTTAAAGATCAACTTTAAAACATACAAAGTATTACAACATTGTTTGTTGAACACAGTTGAGTCATAATCTGTCAAAAATGTTTCCTTTTCAATTTGCCTAAATCCTGTCTTATTTGATTGTTAGGACATCAATTTCAGTCTACGTCTAATACATTTTTTTTCTCGACATCAACCACAATGTTAAGAACACATCTGTTGTTCAATTGACTACCATAAAGTTTCTTCAGCCAGACATGTGATGTTAGCATGAAAATACAGTTATGTGGCATAAGCGTTACTTGATGTCACGTTAACATGTGATCTCTTCAAACTTCTAAAAAAACCCTGAAAATCATCAGACAATGGTTGCACAGACTCATTGTCTACAACAATGGGGGCAGACAATGGGGCTTTTAAAGAAGGTTAGAGGGCAGGTAAGGAAGACATTAGTTACACCTATTCAGAATAAAACAATGCGTCTTTGTATTTATTTGAATACTTTTCCCAGTGACTTGTGTGGTGACATTTTACCTTTGAAGAGATGGATTATCGGACATAACTTGTAAATAACCAAAAATATATTAATAATAAATAATCATAAACACAAAGACAAATTTGGGTCGGATGTGATGACACGGTTGGACTCAAAATGAAAGAAAAGAACGCTACTACTATTAAGACTACATTACCCAGAATGCATTATTACGGTGTACATTGAACGCATTAGCTTACGTCACCATCCGAGCGACCCTTACACTCTGCCTCTTTCCAGGGGCGCGCAAGGCAGCTCACATGAAGAGAAGCTGTCAAACAGCACTATGGTCGGCTGCGTTCTATACCGCCTCATGGACTCACGAGTCCCGTATCTAACATTGAATTTGAGAAGAATCTTGACATGTAGCGTTAACTTTGAATCCCAGCGACTGTATTCCAGCGTTAAGCACGGGGAGGCTCAACTTGGAGTCGTGGACTCTGGATTCGCTGCTCCTAACTTTGATGCGTCTCTTAAGGCCAAGTCGAATCAGGTATGAAGTGTTCACGGCAGTTCGTAACGGATTTTGGCCTTAGTGTCTGAACTAAGTCCCAGCTACGTACGTGCTAAGTATCCGAGTAGATAAAGCTGTTATGGACAGAAGCCAAAAAAGACAGACAAGGAGTAATATGTGTGTTTGAGAGTCAACGAGTAACGCACGCCAAGTTTGGCTTTTTTTTAAATAATCAAGAGCTATAAATGAAAATATTGCGTAAGAATTGTTTTTCTCCTCAATGGCCAATGGTTCGTGTATTTAACTTTTTTTATTATATGTACTGTATATTTCCGACAATCAATGACAAAGATGTAATACTTTACCAAGGTTTCAAACTGTACATGTGTTTGTTCCTTGTTGCAGGGGACATGTATAGGTGCTCGGGCTCGACTTACTGTATATATATATATATATATAGAATCGCAAAAATGCAAGAAATTATACTTATACAATTCCATTTTATGCCTTTACTATTTGGCAGCGTAGGTAGTTGTTGCTGTAAGAAACATCTTCAATTTTAATAACTTCTTGTGACAATATGTCCAACATAACCAAAACACGTGACCTGATGCCCAAACAGTTGACAGCTTGCCAAAGTGGGGGCTGGATGCCCCCATGGGAGGCCAAGGTTAAAGATTATACTGTCATTTAACAAAAACACGGTCGTCTGCCCCTCCGTCTTTGAGAGAGCGTTTATAATGTGTAAGACAGCGCCCCTCTAAATATTACGTGTGTAATGAGCGTTGAAAACATGGTACTGCACTCTGTTGTCTGTGAGGAGGCCATGCTGATTTGACTTTGTTTAACCACGCCACCCACTGGTCAGATGAGACTCCAGCGAGGCGAAAGGAATGTCGTCAATTGATGGGAAACACAAATCGTTGGGTCTATGCTAAAAAAATGTGTTAGAATTATACAGTACCTTCTATTTCATGGAATATCCTTGTTTTTCAGGAAAGGCTGAGACACAACACACTGTTGCCTTTTTCAGCGTTCTTAACCGACAGCTTTGGCCGAAGGCACGACTATTTGCGTATTTCCCTGACAGAAAAGTGCAACCTCCGGTGTAAGTGTGCTTGATTTGAGAATTTTTTTAAATGTCGTTTTTTTATTTATCACTCAGCATGCTAGTTGTTCAGGTTTTACACATCTCCCTGCTGCATATTTTGTTGATTAATAAAAGGTTTGTATTTTGTAACAGTCATTTTTTATAATTAATTCAACTAAAAACAAGTTTGTGAAACTAAAAATAAATATCACATGGTTTAATTGACAAACTCATTCTCTAAATGGGAACGCCTAGATTAGAAAGACACTGTCATTGTACAAACTTTGAAAAACTGTTTAAATAACTATGAGAGAGCATGGCTTAACACCAGAACTCATTATTAGTCACAAAACAACCATAGAGTCACTGCTCTGTTGAACCATCCAGTCCTTAAACTCTGAGCAGTTCATGGTCTTCCTCATTAACAAGACATCTAAAATGAGAGGACAAAACAGACACCACAAATGTACAAGCTGTAGAACATTTTAACATCAGTTGAAATCCATGCTAGTTTTCTTCCTCCTTTTACACTACAGAACTCTCAGAGCTGACCTCACCGGTGAAAGCCCCAATTCCCATCCAAGGGGCGTTAAAGGAAACTCTCTACTAGTTTTTCTTCTCACTCCTTGTTACTGTTTTCACCTCACACATTCCTGCGACTCCAAAACTGCTCAACCTGATCCAGGCATCATATATCTGTCAATATTTGTATTTGTTACTCATAACTAATACTCCCTAAACCAGCTGATCTACTTTTACATCCAACACTAATGACAAGTTCCTCCTCCAACTGTACTGTCTGAGTGTACTATATATCATAGTGTTTGTTGTATGTCTGCTCCCACTCTCTTTTTTTCCCCTCACCTCTCTACTATCTCCCCCATTTTCAGGCAACTTCACTTCAGTCCTGGAGAGTTCTTCCTGTTAAATGGGAGGTTCATCTCCCCGCCATTTTCAAAATTGCTTACTTTTATTCTGTTTAAGAGGATCATTTTCATTCCATCTTTGAAACGTAAAGTTCTTAGAGACATGTAACTAAACTCATTCAACTGTTTATCCACAGGGTTGTCCGGAGGATTAGTTTGAGCAAGGTTCATCATTTTTGTTACGTGATTAATTCTTTATTAACATGGCTAATACCCACCTCTCTATCACATCTTAGGTCAGTACTGCATGCCAGAGGAGGGTGTTCAGCTGACACCACGAGGGCAGCTGTTGACTGCTTCAGAGATACTGACTCTGGCTCGCCTCTTTGTCCAGGAGGGGGTGTCAAAGATCCGTCTGACCGGAGGAGAACCTCTAATTAGACCCGATGTGGTGGATATTATTGGTAGGACACAAAGCAAAACTGTCAAACGTTAAAGTTGCTGTTGATGATTCTCAGTCACTTAAAAAAATGATTTAAAACTGTTAATTTTCAAATATAACTTTACTCTGCAATTTATCTAAGCACCATTTAAGTTTCCAATCTCTATTTGCTGCCATAATTAATTATATATTTTACTATTTAACTGAGATGATCATAATTAATATTTAGTGAAGCAATCTACAAAATTAAACATTTTTTCTTAAAGATTGAGAACATTTTCTTGACCGTAGGGACACTGTTGCAGTTTTCAACATTAATATCTGTACCTGACCAATTCACAGCACAAACTATCGTTTCATTCCACGTTTCCTTCTTTCAAACCTACAGCTGAGCTGAAGAAGTTAGAAGGCCTGAAAACCATTGCAGTAACAACTAATGGCATGAACCTGGCCAAGCTCCTGCCCAGGCTGAAACCTGCTGGTCTAGACCGCATCAACATCAGCCTGGATTCACTTGTCCCAGCCAAATTTGAATTTATTGTCAGAAGAAAAGGTGAGGGAACAGTGGTGCTGATCAGCCCATGTATTTATATGTTTAATATTAAATGTATTCAATGTGTAAAAATTATTTGATTTTTTTCTTTCTCCCCAGGTTTCCACAAAGTCATGGAAGGCATAAATAAAGCAATTGAAATGGGCTACAATCCTGTCAAGGTATCTCAGTCACTTTATTTTGACATCACCACATTGCAGAAAATGCTGAATATAATAATTCATAATGTAAACTTCACTGATTTAGTTAATGGTGAAGAACTGTTTTATGGAAAAACAATACAATTGCACGAAAAGTCAAATGCCACCCACAAATTATATCTCTAAATTAGTGTATATTTGAAAAAAAACATCGATTTTATTTTGTAAATAAATGCAGGATATAAAAATAAAAAAAATCTCTACATTTTTTTTATGTACCAAAAAGTTACCAAACCATGATGTCAATACAGAGGTACACACAGAACGGTGGCCTTTCTGTCACGACCCTAATCAATAATGAAATGCATTGTTTGTCACGTTTCCTGTGTCTCTCCGTAGGTGAACTGTGTGATCATGCGAGGCTTCAACGAGGACGAGCTGTTAGATTTTGTGGCGCAGACAGAAAACAAACCTTTGGAGGTTCGTTTCATCGAATACATGCCTTTTGATGGTGAGTTCTTTCTTCTTATGTGTTTTGTATTATAAACAAGTGCAATTCATTCACACCTGCCATATTACTGAGGTGGTGTTTACATGACTGCGATACGACTGTGGATCCCCGAGAAAGTCACTGCCACACAATAACCACAATGGCTGATGTCAGGCCACTTATGACCATGCTAGAGAGGCTAATTTGGCTACTTGGAGTCCTATTGCGAATTGTTCCATCTTGAGTTAGTATGTCAGAGTGGGGATGACACAGAAGTTGGATTCTTAACTCTCGTTAAAAAAGATACTTGTCCACATTCCATGCTGACGCTCCCTGCCTCTTCTCCTACCTACTGTAAAGGCAACAAGTGGAACTTTAAGAAGATGGTGAGTTACCAGGAGATGCTTGACAACATCAGGCAGCAGTGGCCCGACCTTGAAATGCTTCAGACTGAACACACAGAGACTGCAAAGGTCAGTGTACTCAAAATGACATTCAAATACTACAAATACAACATTGTGTCTTTGCAAAAGACACTATGTTCTTCTTTTCAACTTGACCTAAGTCACCAGGCAGACTTAACTGGCTGTGCTGGGTGCATACAAGAGGATTTTGAGTTCACCTCCTAGAGTTGTCTTGTTTTGTTCATGTACTTAATTAATAATTCTTCTGGGAAATATAACAGGATTTATTATTTAATTTAATGTTTCTAAGCACAATTCTTGTACATTTTAATTCATGCTTACAGAGTGCACAGCACAGCAAGTAATAAATAAAGACTATGTCTTTCTGTCACGCAATTCAAGACATTCAAGGTGCCAGGTTTCAAAGGCCAGATTGGATTCATTACTTCCATGTCTGACCACTTCTGTGGCTCTTGTAACCGATTGCGCATCACTGCAGATGGCAACCTTAAGGTAAGAATACTCCTGGATAAAAATCTCATACCTGGGGCATATAACATCCTGGTTATTTTACCAAGAAAATAAAGGAATTAAAGAAATGCCTAAGGAGAAGCTTTAATATTTATCCTGGTCTGTGTTGTCTCAGGTGTGTTTGTTTGGTAACTCTGAGGTGTCTCTCAGAGACATCCTGCGCTCTGGGGCATCAAATGAAGAACTCTTGCAAGTAATAGGAACCGCTGTGAGCAGGAAGAAGAAACAACACGCAGGTATCTGTTAATGTTCCACTATTTCTCACTATTTAGGTCACTGGGAATTTTCCAGGAATTCTGCTCTTTTTATTTCTGATTTGTTAGGATGTTGAAGATGATCCCAGACTGATTTATTTAGATTTTAAAATGACCATGAGCCTCATCATGTTAATGAAAGAACAACCTGTTCCTCTTGGACTTTTTGCAGGTATGTCCAGTATCTCTCAAATGAAGAATCGGCCCATGATCCTCATTGGTGGGTGACGTATCTGTACGTACCCTCATGCCTAATGATTTTTGCTTCTTGGTGGAATTTCTTTTGTAGCTGTGAAATCATATTTTTGATTCGACAGAGACCTTGTCCAAGACAAGCGACAGTTGGATGACTCCCCACGCTGTTTGCCATCCTTTAAAAAACACGTCATCCTGTCCTACACCAGAGCTACATGCTCCTCAGTTAAACAGCAGAGGGAACCGGGAGGACGTGTTCCTTTCATGTCGCACTGCTACAAACCCAGCATCCTGCAGAGAATCCACTATCAACAAAGACAAGCTTAAGACAACGGACAACCACCACAGTTTAGCTTGTGGTTTAATGACAAACACTAATGATGGACATGACATGACTAAGGAACGCTGTCACCACACAGCTCAAGTCAACAAACCTACTGCTTTCAAGCATCTGTTACTCAGGAACACAAGAAAACTGATTCACCACCACGTAAGAATGTGTCACAACCACAGCTCCAGATCAGATTCTATTGACAAACATGTGTCCAGTGATCAGTCCAGTTCAGTAATGGAAGTGTCAAGCAGTGAAGCCACCGAAGCTCGCCTGACACACACGGACGCTCAGGGCCGAGCCACCATGGTGGATGTCGGAGGGAAAGTTCCCACACGCCGGACTGCCGTGGCACGCGCCACTGTTAAACTGGGTCCCACTGCTTTCCTGCTGCTTCGTGACAACCAGCTGGCCAAGGGCGATGCCTTGACTGTGGCACAAATAGCTGGCATCATGGCCTCTAAGCAGACCTCATCCCTCATCCCGCTCTGCCACCCACTGTTCTTAAACCATGTGTCTGTCAGCTTTGAGCTGGAAGAGGAGCACAGCGCTGCGGTTATCACGGCCACGTGTAGCACGACGAGCCAAACAGGAGTAGAGATGGAGGCTCTGACGGCTGTGTCTGTGGCAGCACTGACCATCTATGACATGTGTAAGGCGGTGAGCCATGACATCGTTATTACTGACGTGAAGCTGGTCAGGAAAACGGGGGGGAAGAGGGACTTTAACTGACAAGATTCACCACCTCAGCTACTTTTGAATCATGGGAAAAAGGCCAGACATCTGTTCTGTTCTGGTTTGTGTAATTACTGCATCACAAGCTCCACACTGAACCCTCAAAAAGTCTTGGTTTAAATTTGGTGTCGAGAGATAAGAATTGTGTCAGTTGTGGACAGAGCTAAAAATTGAGCAAATGAATTATTCCTCTTTTAGATGGAGAAGTAAATCTCAACCAGGTGAGAGGCAGCGTGTGAAGTGGACAGGTCACACATCTGGACGTGAACATTTTAACAGGAAGAACTGCAATAGGAATGACCAGAAAAAAATCCAGTAGTTTTTCCAAAACAGAACATCTTTCCTACTAAAGATCAATAAAATGTAAACAATATTAAGGTGGCTTGATAATAATGTGTATGTATATATATACACATATACACACATACAGTATGTATTCACATGCACACATTACAAAAAAGTATTGTATGCTTAAGTTTTATGAATGGAAGTTCTTTTTATAATTTCTCAACATACGTTTTGTCTTCCATGCAATTCCATGTCTTAATTTTATTTCCTCATACAATAATACACCTCCTTATTGTTGATTAAGTTCATGTACTATAATAATACTTTGTTGTAATATGTAGTTTTGGCACCTTAAAAAATTAAAAATGATGTTAAATTATTTGTACACTAACTTCACCAGTGTTTTGTCCCTTAAACTAATTAGAAATGCTGTTGCTGAAGTTATGCATCTGATTTCTTAACAGTCAGTGTTATTTGTTATTTCTTTCATCTTTTTTGACTAAAGTCCTTGGAGGTGATGAAAATAATCAATGATAATAAAGTCACTTGAAGCATGAAGTAACATTTACCCATTATGACAACCTCAATATTTGAGAAAAAAGCAATATATTTTGTATTTCTATCTTTCTATCTACTGTATATATACATAGAAAAGAAAGTACAGAACATAGACAAATTATATTTACATTTAATATGTAATAAATGTTATATGAGGCACCTAATTGTGTTTTTTCTTTTATGCACAGGTCTGAAACCCCCAAATATTTTTTTGCATGTTTTCTGCCAAACAGAAAAAAACATTTAATTCAGCCGACAAACCACACAACTCCTTCCAGGTCTTTCTAGGAATATTTTACTGTTGTTAGTACTAGGCAGTACATTCATTTAGATGTAATGTCATATCCCCAGCTAGTGATTCCAAGCTTTGGATAAATCTTCAATAAGCATGTACCATATCACTGACAGGGAAACTCACGAACGCTCCTGTGTAGTTGCTAACGGATTGGTTGCATAAATTATATTATATATTATATCAGCATCACTTCCATCCTTCCAAATTGTAAGTAAAGAAGAACAGGCTTGTTTAGTATAAAATTGTTATTAAGAACATATTTTTTATTAATATTTATTTAGTTTTCTTTTTAAAATAAAAATGACCAAGCAGCTGGTAGTCAGTCCACTTATTGTGGCCTTGTCTATTCATCGCCATGACAACGATACCCTGTCCAGACTGTTCTCCATTTGGGTGGGCTTTACATAAAAGGACAGTCATGACACTTTCATCTACACTGGTTATTTTGTATTACCTAAAAGAGAAGCAGGTAGTTGCACGAAATACAAAGGAGGATGTACTCCCAGGGTTCTGATGCTAAGAGCTCTGGACACTTGGGGTGTATTGGAAAGAATCTGGCGATAAGATAAATATCCTGATAAAGGGACCACAATTTGCTTTATTGCGATATACTGAGATACAATAAGCAAAACGATATATTGAGTTTATTTCAAGCAATTTGATTTTAGGAAAACTGGTTTATTTCAAGCAATTTGATTTTAGGATTTTAGGATTCAGTACAGTGAACACCCAAGGCTTCACATTAGGTTATTAAAATTGGAACAAATCCATCTATATTTTTAATCACTAGAGAAGAAATGAAAGCAAATTAAAATGAACCAACATTACAGTGCAAGCACATTTGCATGTTAATTGCGAACAAAAAAATAAAAACTTACAGTAAAAAGTGCAAGCACATTTGCATGTTAATTGCTAACAAAAAATAAAAACTTATACACTGCTATAGAATATCAATACAGTAAATATATCGCTGTATTAATATTTTCTCACTCCCAAAATAAGTTACAAAGAAGCAAGGTCACAATGACAGATTCAGATGACTCAGATGAAGTAGGTTTTTTTTTCCTCAAATGTCAATCAATTTGATAACGATTATTTGTCTTTTGACATGAAATATCCACATCCATTAGTGCAGTTCTAATGCGTTTTACGTTTGGTTTTTATGTGGCCAGGACTGGCCAAAGACTGTAGTGGCCAGACTGGAGAAGATGACTGATGCTGCTATTGAGCGAGTTTACAATAAGTACTCTCGAATCAAGCACACACAAGATTCATCTGACCTGAAGGCATCTGACAAGAAACAGGACTGCATCTCTGAGCGCCAGCGTGTTTTACTGGAGGTAAATGAAGGGGTCGTAGAAACAAGTTGGATTGGCTGTCTCCTGTGTCCTCAGTGGGTTAGGGTTTGGGGACGAAGGATGTGGATTTTGTTTTACTGGAGGTAAATGAAGGGGTCATAGAAACAAGTTGGATTGGCTGTTTCTCTAGGGTTAGGGAAATTGGGGTGTCTTCACAACAGTACAGTGGAACCTGGTTGTCGAACAATTCAGTTCACGAACTAAATTGCCCCGGTTGTCGTGTCATAACTCTGTTTGCTGAACAAGAGACAATACCACACAAGCAGCAGGTTATCACTAAGTGACTGTGTGTCAGTCCGCACTTTTTTTTTTAACCAAGGAACTTCAGAAAGTAACACTCAAAAAAGTAAATGTTAGACTTCATAGCCCAAGCATTGTTGCCTCTTGATAGGAAACGGGGTTTTTTTTTCCCGACGTCTATTCAATTTAAAGACCTTCACTATTATCCTCTGTACTTAGGGAGCTCTGGTTATGAGCAGGTCAGAGATAAAGATGCTGGACACCGCAATTGTAGCCAAGTGTCGTCAGCTGGACATCCTGGAACGGCATATTGAGACAGAGAATTACGGCTATGAAGAATTTGTCAAGTTGTTTGAAGAAAAAGCAGCAAAAACCCGACCTTTGTAAGCTGATTGGTTTTGTCATGTTTTTGAGCAGCCATTTGGTTTAATTATTCATTGTTTTTATTTCTAATTAAAACTGTTGTGTCAGCCTTGAACAGGAAACAAAGTCCAAACAGGTGGAGGATGCAGTGATAGAGAGGCTATCTAATACTGTCAGCACCCTCAAAAGGTAGAATGAATTTAGTACTACAGTACTTTCAAGAAAACTCTTTTGTGAAGTTTGTCCATAATAGATATTCAGATTGCAACAGACAGTTGTCCTCCCTCTTTTTAGGAATCAGTAGTAGTATAGTAGTATAAATCGGTAACATTTATGTCTCTGACAGGGAAGGAGATGATGCTGCGCACGTCAATGAAACCTGTGTAAGAAGCAGGGACGTTCTAGACCGAATGCTCCCTCAGAATCCACAGAACATAGAACTGGGTACGTCAGAAGCTCATGTCCCACCTGAGGAAAATAAACAGTGTGAAGGTTCGCCTGAGAGCGGAGACAAGGCTGATGGCTCATCTGAGAAAGATGATCAGGACAAGAAGGATGATCAGGTTGAAGAATCACCTGACACCAAATATCAGGGTCTGAACCCAGTTGATAAAGATAACTCACCTGAAGATCAGGGAAAGGACCAGACTGGGAATGAAGCTGAGGACAAAGACCTACCTGACAAAGTTGACGAGGAGAAGAGTGCAGCTGAGAAAGATGATGTTGGTACTGATGCAGCTGAGAAAGATGATGTTGGTACTGATGCAGCTGAGAAAGATGATGTTGGTACTGATGCAGCTGAGAAAGATGATGTTGGTACTGATGCAGCTAGGAAAGATGATGTTGGCACCAATGCTGGTACTGGAACTGAGAAAGATGATGTTGGTACTGATGCAGCTGAGAAAGATGATGTTGGTACTGATGCAGCTGAGAAAGATGATGTTGGTACCAATGCAGCTGAGAAAGATGATGTTGGTACCGATGCTGGTACAGAAGCTGAGAAAGATGATGTTGGTACCGATGCTGGTACAGAAGCTGAGAAAGATGATGTTGGTACCGATGCTGGTACAGAAGCTGAGAAAGATGATGTTGGTACCGATACAGCTGAGAAAAATGATGTTGGTACCGATGCAGCAGAGAAAGATGATCAGGAAGAGCAGGATTCTACATCTTCTGCAGCTGACTGTAATACACTGTAAGGAAACAACAAACACTCACCTCTTGAATCAATATTTAGCCTCTAAAATCTAAATCAAACCGTGAACTTTGTTTCTCTTGCTCTTTTAGCCTCACCAATCCTCAACTAGAAACAGACACAGTATATGAGGTCAGTCCTGCCTTTATATATGACACAAACAAACACCTCCATGTTTTTTCTGAGACAGTATAGAATGACTTGTTTTCATCTTCCTGCAGAGGCTGCTGCCTTATATGTCCAATTCCCAGAAACTACGGGGACTTTTGAAGGAACTAAATGAGCAGAACCTTTCCCTGATTAAGGGATGGATAGATGAAGAGAGGGATGAGCTTGTCCAATCACTATCGTGAGCTGAATGATGTTAACACCTCAAACCTCTTTTCTGCATTTCTCCATTTTCTTTTTTAAATATTCTATTTATTCTTTTTCAAATACACAAAGTAAAACTTCAGAATGATTGAACAACCCAAACCTTTGCCACTAAAAAAAATTTATATACTGGGATATATAAATAAATGTGCATATATATTAGGAAAATATAATATATTCTTTGAAACATTAATATGAATTAATGCAATCACAGTGCCTTGATTTTATTGAGGTTTATTACACAGTCATAGCCATATATTTATAATTGTCATAATAATTTCTTTCGATGTTTCGGTTTTAGGTTTTTGGCCTTGGTTTCCTAATTTTCGGTTTTAGCCAACAATTTTAATTTTGATCAAAAACATATATATGTATACATATACATACTCTATATATGTATATATGTATACAAATACGTACTCTACAGATATATGTGTGTATTTGGTTTTTGGCCTTGGTTTCCTAATTATATATATGTATATATATATATACACATACATATATATATACATACATATATATGTATATGTATGTATATATACATATTTATAAATATATAGTATCAGGGCATTGGTGTTGCTGACATGTCTTTTCTTTGTCTTTTGCTGAAGGCCTGAGGATAGCCACATGCTTAAGTCTAAGGTCATGGAGTACATCAACAGTTTTGAAAGCTTCAGAAATGATTCAACACTCAGTGACTCAGACAAAGAAATGACACCACAGGAACAGGTAACAGGGTTGTTTGTTTTTCTTCAAAATTTGTATTTCATAATTTAATTCACGAAATTCACAGGTTAAGTTTGACAGCACTGGTAAAGATCTGCCCAAAGGTCCTGTCATTTTATGTAACCCACGTCGTTCTGTCTACAGGATGCTGTGCTAGAGGCTTTGGGCCAGAATGTGGCAGACGTCTATCCGTCCTGTGTAGGCAGCCAGGGTGAAACTGACAGTGTTCTGGAAAAGCTTTCAGTGATGGAGAAGCATATGTTGTTATTGGTACAACAGCTTGAAGACAAGCGCAGGTAAGTGCTGTACAGCAGGGATACTTCAACACAGAACTTCCATAAATTCATTATTAACAAGTCAAAAGTCCAGGGACAGAGGAGGGGCTCTGGTACCACGGTGAATCAAGCATCTCAGGGATCATATAAAAACATAGCAGAATACAGACAATCAATACCTATGGTACAGGTTGCGTGTACTTTGCAGACTCCCTAAAAACATGGAGTTTTGCATGTGGGTCAGACTCATCTGCCATTATCCTCCTGTAGAGTGCGCTGATCCTACTCAGCACACTCACCTTTTCTAAGGGAGGAGGCCAAGTAAGCAGCGGGGGAGCGCTAGGAAATAATTTAATCTCAAGTGCAAGTCGGTTGGTTTATACTATCAACTCTTCGATGTTTCGGACTTGTCTCCTGGATGCCATGTCTACTACATCTGCAGCTGCAGACTGCTGATTGGTCAGATGTAGATTGTTGACAATCATCGTCACGGCGTGTGTGATGTCAGGTTATGGCTGTCGTTACCTTTGCCTCGCACGTGGTTCTCATCACACATCTCATATTGCAGTGGTGCGCGTACATTTTGCAATTTGCATGTCGCTCAACATAGGGCCCCTTTCGAAAACATGGGCCTCATGCGCAGTGCGTGTTGTGTGTATAGTGAGGCTATGGAAGTTACTGTAGACTCCAGTTTGTGTAAACACGTCCTTGTTGATGTTCTGTCTTATACTATTAAGAACTCTAAATTGAAATTTTCTAATCTTATACTTTTTTGTAGACTATATGAAGAAGAAATGCAACGTGAGAAAGAAAAGCAGCAGCGTGAAAAAGCAAAGAAGAACTTACACAGGTCCCTGAGTGCACCACCAAAAAAAGTAAGTGTTTTAACTTAAATATGTTGTATTTAAGTGCTAAATGTACTGTACCTAGTCTACCTCTATTCATTTTGTTTAGTGCTACTTGTACAGTGTGACTTTTGTTGATAATGACTAAAAACTAATTTTTTCAGACATATGTTCTCTTCTTCAGTGTTTAGCTAAGCAGACTCAGCCAATGCTGCTGTATTTAAATGTAGGGCATACTGGATGTACTTGGAGTGACAAATATTTTCTTAGGTTTTTATTAGTATTTCTATTTAGATACTTGTTTCTATTGACTTGTAGACTCTGACTACCTGAACAGTTTTTATTTTATTAAGGGTGTATATGCTATCATTATGCTAACAACAGCAAGGCTAATATTTTTATTTTTATTTCTTTCAGCTTGGGAAAAAGCCAATGATCAAATTCAAACGTGCCACTCCAAAGGTTGCACCAATTCCAGAAATGTCTGCTGAAGACAAACCGATTTGAGGTTTCTCTTGATTTTATTGGGGGCTCACTAGCCACCGACCCCGGGGTTGAAAAACCTTGGGGTTGGTGGCTAGTGATGGCAGATGAAAATCTTTCCTTATTTCTTGCTGGAAAATAAATTTGCCAAGACTGTGGTTGAAAAGTATATTTAATACCGTTCAGGTTAAAAGATGACTATTCTTCTACCCCTTAATCCTGTTCAGGGACATGAGAGACTAATGCTAATAATCTACTCTTACCTATGGTTAATTTATTCAAGTCCAATAGAGTGAACAGGTTTATTGCTACCGTAGGTGAAGTAGTGTCATCTAGCACAAATAATGAAAGTGGAATGTTGATGTTTAGTGTCAAATTAAACCACAATCAGAAAGATATCATGTATCGAACCAACAAACTTATATTTCTCTTAGGGGGTAGTTTGTCTCCCAAAAAGAAATAAAACAAAAAAACTGTGAAGAATGTAAACAGAGTATGACTGATGATATCATGGAGTGACATCACTACTTTAAACTAGCCTTTGATGATTTATCCTCAAAAGGCACTAGCTAAACACAGCTCTCTACATACATCCCCATTGTCAAGAGTTTTATCCCAGTTTGCGTTCCTGTTGGCCAAATGCACGGATCAACATGTCTAATGCACTTCACTGTACATGCCTGACTCATTTGCCGCATTATCTGGCAAAAAGGTATGGAGTTTCCATTTGATATTAATCGCTTATTCTCTCAGAGGATATCCATCTTGGACCACACTTTATTTGCAGGGTATTCCAAGTCAGTAAAAATGACCGGTTCTATGAATAACTTGGGCACGGTCGTCAATGAACTTGGAAGAGCTTCAGCAGTGGCCCAAAATCTCAGAGAGCCTATAACAAGTGCTGCCAAAATGCAGTCTCAAAAGCATCAGATCTATCTTTTGACAGAAAGACAGAAAAATGAAGGACGTGGGGCGGTTGTAGGGTTTCTGAAAGTTGGCTACAAAAAGTTGTTTTTGCATGACACACGAGGTGCTTACGTAGAAGCAAAGCCCCTGTGTGTTTTGGATTTCTATATAGTTGAAAAGTTACAGCGACGTGGCTATGGATTAGAGCTGTTTGAGTTCATGCTGCAGCATAAGAATTTAGAGCCCGTACTCATAGCTTACGATGGGCCCACTCCCAAATTCTTGTCTTTCCTGGCAAAGCACTACTGCCTGACAAACATTGTGTCACAGTTCAATAACTTTGTGGTATTTGATGGTTTCTTCCTCAAGAGATCACTTGGCCAGTTTAAAAAGGTTTCTCTTAAAAGGTCAGATGGTGATATCAAATCCTTCTCTTTACCAGAGCGGAGAATAGTACACGGAGAACAGCCATTTTTCTCCCCTCAGTCGAGTCAGCAAAGTGCATCATCCCAGTGGACCAACGGCCAGGGTGTGGGATCCTTACTAAACAGAGTGTATCTAAATCAAATTTCTTCCATATTTGGTAATGGCAACAAGAGCCCGCAACCCTCTTTCATCCAGAACTGCAGAGGAAAGATTGACTTTGCTTTTGATATTAATCAGTTATTCCCTGATAGGATCTCCATTTTGGACCAGATGGTTTTTTCATCAGCAAAAAGCTCAGATCAGCTGGTCCACTTATCCACGGTCATTGATGAACTTGGAAGAGCCTCAGCAGCTGCCCAACAGCTTAAGTCCCCAGTAACAAGTGCTACTAAACTAAAGTCTCAGAAGCATCACATCTACCTTTTAAAGGACAGTCAGCTCAAAAGTGGAGGATGTGGTGTGGTTTTAGGTTTTCTCAAGGTTGGCTACAAGAAGCTATTTCTACATGACAAACATGGTGTTTACGTAGAGGCAGAGCCTCTGTGTATATTAGATTTCTATATCGTAGAGAAGTTTCAACGTCAAGGCTATGGATTAGAGCTTTTTAATTACATGTTGCAACACAAGAATTTAGAGCCAACGCAGTTAGCATTTGATGGTCCCACACCCCCCTTTCTGGCCTTCCTAGCAAAGTACTACTGCTTAACAGAAAGGGTTCCACAAGCAAATAATTTTTTGGTGTTTAGGGAGTTTTTCCACAAGAGAACAGGAACCCCACAGAGAAAAGCTGCAGTAAAAAAGCCAGAGGGAGAGATAAAACACTGCTCAATAACAAAAAAGAATGTGGTACCGATAGAGCAGCCAACTCAAATCCGAACATCTCCCCCGTCTACACCTACACCATTTTCTGCCAGAAAGGGCAGAAATAATGCGAGGCAACCTTCTCCTCTCACCAAAAACACAACAGAAGAGACCAAAGGTATTATGGATGGTTCTGTTGATTATAATCAGTTATTCCCTGAAAGGATTACTGTTGTGGATCATACACTTTTTGCAGAAATATCTTCACAAAAGCCAGGTCTTTTGGCCCACATAGGCACCATCATTGATGAACTTGGGAAAGCCTCAGCAGAGGCCCGAAAACTTAGAGTCCCTTTAACAAGTACATCCAAGCTGAAATCACAAAAGTATCAGATATACCTTTTAAAGGAAGGAGAGAACTGTGGAAGTCATGGTTCAGTTTTGGGAATGTTAAAGGTTGGCAACAAAAAGCTATTTCTGCGTGACAAGCAGGGTGTGTACATAGAGGCAGAACCACTATGTGTTTTTGATTTCTTCATAGTTGAGAAGTTTCAGAGATGTGGCTATGGATTAGAGCTGTTTGATTACATGTTGCAGCACAAGAATTCAGAGCCAGTGGAGATTGTTTATGACAGACCAACACCTAAACTCCTGTCATTTTTGGCAAAGCATTATTGCTTGACACAACCAGTTCCCCAGACTAATAATGTAGTAGTTTTTGAAGGTTTCTTCAACACACAGTGTCCAGCGTGTCACATGTTGGTCAACCAGAGACATCTTAGGTCTCAGGCCACCAAGGCTAATCGTCCATTGGGGAAAAGAAATGTGTCACTTGCTAAGTAATTTGGAGACACCTTAACAATATCACAAGGAACTCCAAAGAGTACAGCAGAGCCCTAATATACCAATAGAGACAGAATGGCAGTTGTTCTGTTTAGAAAAGAAAACAAGCATTCCTTTCCACAGGAACAATATGTTTGCTGGTCTTCTTGTGCGGAGATGAAAAGGAAGAACTCAAGAAACTGAGGTAAGGAAAAGGAACAAGTGAAAAAGGTGGAGACAGAAGAGTACCAGGGGCAGACGTTAAAAGTGCTGTTCTATTATTTCCAGTTTTTGCTCCGCTTTGTATTTTTCCTTTCACATAAATGGCTTTTGCTGTTATATATATAAAAATGCTTTCTTATCACTGTAGTAGTTGAGTAGATGATCAGCAGATAATACAGGTCTTACATCAGGGGCCTTTCTTGCACTAAAAAGCACAAAAGTGGGGGTCATGTGGTATTTATACAGGACACAGATCAAGCTTTTTATGAAAGACAATTACAAAATGCATTTGGTATTATCACCTGTAGGTGGTGCTGACACCAACAACAGCACCTTTACTACACACACAATTCACATTTATTCAGCACACTGTAAAAACCAAGGAAAATATGAGTATGCATTTTAACATGACATAGAATCAGAAATTCAGTGTCAACTGCACAACATTTGTCCTTTTCCATGATCCTGTAAGGCAGAGTCTTTCTCAACCCTGGGTTCGCCTGAAGCAACCAGTAATTGATTAAAAAGATTATTGTTCAAAATATTTTTTCAAGTAATTATTATTTTTAAATTCTATTATGATTAAAGGCACAACACACAATCCTGAACAACTGCATTCTTTCACTTTCATGAATATAAATATAATCCAGTCCAAATAAAGTACAGCATGTAAAGAGATCTGAGCTGGAGCAGCTTGATTGACAGGCGTGATCACGTGACTGCACAAGTGACAGCTACTACAATGTCTCTGGGGTCGCAAGAAATTCATGAAGTCAAATTGGGGTCCCAACCTTTTTGGGTCACAAGGCAGAAAAGGTTGGGAACCACCGCGGTTAAAAGTTTGTATGTTCTCCCTGGATTTTTCTAGTACCTCTGGTTTTCTCCAACAGACGGTGCTGAGTTTAGAGGGGTTTACATGTTGTACATTTCAGGACAAATAGTTATTAAAAAAAAAAAACTTTTCTCATCTTCCCTTTAATTTTCTGAGGCCTAGCGCCCCCTGGCGGTCCCCACCTTGAACACCACTGCCTTAGACTCTTAGACTATTATTGAATAGGTGGAGAAACACTGTGCATTTTTATAGTTCTTACTGTCCTCCCAGCTCACCTTAGAGTGTGTCATTTGTTTTCAACACCATATGAACGCTACAGATTTCCAAATATATGGCTCTCCATTATAGCAAGTATTGAGAAACCATAATGTTTTCTTTAGAATTATATACTGGTGCTTTATCAAACTGTGGTCAAAGTTGCGTTACAAAGTGCAATTTAGTGGGACAGCCCTGACCGAGCTTAGCTGTGCATGGAGCATGGAGGAAAACAGAGAAAAAGTTCACTGCACCGACATGTGGCCCCCTGAGTGACCGTGTCACATTTTATTTTGTGTAATTTTTCTTCAGGGTTAGCCAGGTTTTGGGGATATGCCACATTGGTGACTGGCTAGACTTTAAAAGTATTGTCAGGAGAATAGTTTTGCATATATTACAGGGTTAAGTGCAAACCAATCTGCTTTATCCAAACACAGCAATCCAAACAGAGCACTGGGTCTGGGAGACTGATGAGTAACACACTCAGCCAGGGGCCCCACTCGCCCCCAGGATCCCCCCTTCCTTCTCCATTCTCCAATCACACACTGATTGGCTCTGATTGGTTGTAAAAAATACAATGCTGACTTTTTGATTATATTATGTATCATCACACATGGACCGCTGCCCTGTGCTGCAGATACCAGAGCATTAGTGGCCCAAAAAAATGTCAGATCTCAAGATTACTGCAAGGACACGCTGAGGGAATACATCAAGTGTGGCTGTAATTGTAATGACTCTAAAAAAATAGAGAAAATTCTGTGGGATGGACCCCAGTGTTTATGACATAGGCTTATGCTCACATGGGAGGCCCGTGCTGCTGCTGCTGGCTGCTGTAACTACCTCCGCCCTCACAGGTTACTGCGGGTTCACCAGAATCACATTTCTAGAACTGCGTTGTGGTTACGACGGCAGATGAGGTATTCTAAAAGCAGAATCTGAAAAAAAAAAATGTCCAGGCATTTGAAAAGGAGCACTTCAGTTAACAAAAAAGGAAAAAATATATTGATACAAAAAAAGTTAAAAGAAGATAAGGTGGGCACAATAAAGAGAGGGATTTCAATTGCTGAGCTCTTTTATAAAAGGCACTCTTAAGACTTTCCTCTTCAGCAGAACATTTTCCTAAATTCTTGCAGAATTTGTAATATTTACTTTTCTTCAACAAAAAAAAAAACAGTCGGTTTGTGGTAATCTTACTGTAAGTACTTTAAGGTGTGTGTGAGTGGCTGCAGCGGTGACCTGAAATAAAGCTGAGATTTACATGTATCATCAATGTTAATGTTTCATCTGTGTAAATCATTGTGGAAGTACAGGAGACTGAACAAGTGGTGGTGCTGCGGAGCTCAACGAGCAGTTAAAACACACAGATGTGCACACACACACACACACACACACATCTGTCCACTGTTTGACATTTTATTATGTCACAGCCATTGTGGTGAGAGCTGTCACTAACAGAGGGCTGCATGACCAGGTTGATTAGACCCACTTCCAGGCAAAGGAGTGGAAATATGCTGTCAACTCATTACAAAAACAAATAAGCTCTCACTTTCAATTACTCACTTAGCATTCAGAGATTAGACAGCTGAACAGTTTCCAACAACAGTCTTTCTGGGGTCAGCAGGGACGCCTGGAATCACAATTTTTATGGTTTTGTATCAACCTGGTCCTGGGGTCTGTTTTCATCTTTTAACAGTTATTCACCTGAAAAGAACATTTCAACTCACACAGCTACAGTTAGGTCTTTGGTCAAACGAATGAGTAATGTATTATTTACCGGTGGAAACGTTTTTTTTTTTATGAAAAATGACCTGATTCTTTTTCCAACTGCGTCTGTCTCTGACTCTTGATGTGTCGTTGTTGTCTTTGGAAAGATTTTTCCAAAAGAAGACATTTATTTAACGGCCCAACATTAGAACAGCATTAGAACAACAAGTCATTACAATTACATGTTGCTCCAGATCTGCATGTTAAGAATAATGGAGAGTTGTATTTTCTATGCCTTTTTTATGTTTTCATGCTGATCGAAACGCATCCATCCATCCATCCATTTTCATCCGCTTATCCGTTACCGGGTCACGGGGACAGCAGTCTCCAGGACCACCACCCAAATCACACTGCACCGTACCAACCCCCCTGAACCTTCCTGTGGGTGGTGAGTCCACTGGAAGGTACCAACCGCTCTAACAGGGATTCGATCTTGCCCAGGAGGAGAACCCTGGGGTTCCACACCACTGACAGAGACATGGCCTCTGGGCCAAAGCGCCACCTGATCGTATTATTTTATTTCATTATGTTTATTCACAATACAGAAGGTCCTCGGTTTGCAACATCGTCGTGGTTACGGCGCCATTTCCCATAAATTAATGAAGAAAATCTTCCATCTTTCCAACGGACAGCGCTAAAACAAATTTGACATGGGGATTAGTTGACACGCAGAGCAGACGGATACGTCATCCCCCTACTTTCATTTAAAATAAAAACATGGACTTTTAGATCCCAAAATTACATCAACAGTTTAAAATTCTGTTTCTTGTTTTTTACAAATTAACACATGAAAAATATATTTTAAAAAATGTCTTATGCTAAATAGAATAATCATAGATTAAGTACTTCCTGATATAACCATTTATTTAAACTAAAAAATTTGAATAAAAGGTCAATTAAACAAATGTTATATGTTGAGACTGCAATTCACGGGGAAAAAGTAATATTGCTTTGTATTGCCGTTTAGTCCACCAGAGGGCAGAATGTGCTCACACGCAGTGTGAAAGTCTAGGTTATCTGCAACCATTTCCTCTTAGTCTTGAGCAACAGTAAACCTACATTTAATGCAGTGGTTGGCAGACCGACACACAAATATACCGCAGTAATTTAGGATCAACTTCCTGTATATCAGCCGTAAGTCGATGCAGCTGTTTTCAGGTGAAGCAACAGCTGTATAAAAAGAGTGATGTGAAAGTAAGGAGTTCTGAAACTACGACGCTGAAGACACAGAGGAGGTCACACACGTCACAAATGCAAATCTTTAAGACTCCTCATTAAATCTCTTCTGTTTGAGTGTAAACACACACCGGTACAAGTCTGTGGTTTACACAACACAGAAATGATCATACCGAGGAGCTAACACTATGTAGTGCAGTTATAACAACAGAGTCAATATTGGAGGTACCACGTGTAAATGGAGAAGAGATCTTCACTCTCTTTAAAAATGTTGACATCAGAAACCATAAACACAATGACGAAATACGAGGGATGTAACTACAAAAGGTTCTACAAAAGTATTCTTTTTAAACTAATATATTTGGTTGTCTGCAGTGGCACTTTATGTCAGGGTGTGATTCTAGGATGATTCCAAGTGGCCCAAAAAATATTAAAATATTATATCAACAATGTAATAATAATAATGTAGTAAATTCTACATAAGAAATATATTCATCTTCTTAAGTGTGTTACGTCGGGGACCATTATCAGAAACTTGAGGATACATTTTAATTTTCTCTGTCTGTCCATTAGTGAGGATGATCAGATCACGGCCCCAACAACAGCAGACATATGAGAACATGACCTTATGACCTATGTTGACGAATGATAATTACAACAAGACTTAACTTTGACGTTTTTCTAAACTTTATCCATGAGTATAAAAAATAGGGTATTTGCCTTCTAAGAAGCAAGACAGTGAATGGGAGCTGGGACTGGGGTACGGTAGAGTAAGGATGGATAGATGTGAGTGCATGGAGGAGAGCAGCAACAAGATTAAAATGACAATTTAACATGATGTAAAAGGACCCCTCATCTACCTACAACCTACAAAAGTGGGGGCACAAAAAGTTCTTAATATTCATCTTAAAACTACTGCAGTTGAAGAGGGAGGCCAGTGACTTAGCAAGTAACCGACAGAGCTAAAACTTCTAAATCTGACAGCTTAGATGGTACAAATTGTTATTTTTTTCTTACGTCACTCTAGACTGATTTTTCCAGAAGAAGCAGCTAAGTGTCCGACTGACAAAGGACCGCATTTAAAAGTTAAAAAAGGGTCACATTAACAATTGTCCCTTCAACATCATGACCACGGTAATATTTTTCCTTTTTATCATTGTTTCTTATACAATGGATTTTCATCTAAACTGAAACACATAATATTCAATGTCATATGTTTGTGTCTATGTTCGGTTATCACTTGGAAAAAAAAGGGACATTTTGTAATCCATAACCCGACTCCTTTCCATTGATTATCCATCATTCATTGTTTTCTCTGGCCAGAGCAGACCTTCTGTTGATACAGGCCATAATTTTGATTTATCTTTTGGATAAATAAAAAGCGGTCTGGTCTGGCCTTTGGAAGAACACAGTCTTCAAATCACTTGATCATTAATCCACACATTGTTTTATTTACTCCCTGCTCTCAGCAACGAGAGACAGGGTGGAGGGGGACAAGAGGGGCGCTCCGGGTCAAAAACAAGCGATCTATTGTGAATTTCAGCTTGTTGGGCGGAGAGCGGAGAAGAGGTTGACATTGCAGGGTGATATAAATATGCTGCCATGCTGGAATGTTTCAGGTAGTAGCGCGGTAAAGGACTTCTGAATAATGTCAGTGACAGAAGTTAGCAGCAGCTTAAACCCAGATATCCCCTGAGGGTGGGATTGAACTTGGGGCAAACGTTCCACTGCAGGTCAGAAGGGCATGTACACTCACAGCCCCCTCCCCCGACACAGAAACATTAAGCAAAACAATCTGGTGATAACACGCTTTTTTGACAAAACCATCCTAAACCAAAATGCTTTCTCTGTTTTCAGAGGGAAAACCTCCTCTGATCTGAATCGACACAGCTACAGTTAAATTGTTGCTCAAATTACTTTAATGAGGAATCACCAGTTTGGCACTTCTCTTTAAAAGGAGTTGCAATAGTAATGATTTGCTAAGTGATTGGGTCGTTTTTATACAGGAGGCAGTTTCGAGTTAGAGGAATCCACCCAGGAATGTAGTACGCAGCAGGCAAAACTCCTGCCAGCTACCAAGGCTCCATCATGAGTTCGAATTTTTAAAAAGTTATTTTAATATTGATGTTTTAAATAGGCTGCTGGGGTGCAGTGTGATTTGGGTGGCAGTCATGGAGACTGCGGCCCCCGCGACCCGGTAACAGATAAGTGGACGAAGATGGATGGATGGATCTTTCAAATAATTAGCTCTGGCCTGTAACAAACTTTACAAATCTAGAAGTAACTCCAAATTCTATAAAAGCTACAATTACCTTTTTTTTCATAGGATTTGTTTCATTGGTTTATGGCTGGTAACTAGTCTAATCTGATCTGATCTAATCTAATCAAAAAGTGTCTCATGAAAAAGAAAAAACTTAAAATGGTAAAAGGAAGAGGTAGAGAGCCGTGCCCAGCGTGCAGACATCAGCAGACGTAGTTATTTATCCAGTGTGCCTTTGAAGTCCGCTGTTCAAATGTACACAAATGAGTTGCTGACATGTCGTCGGAATTTTCGACGACCTAAAAAGACTGATTTACACAGTCGTAGCACTCCTATGATAAATTATATACTACTCTTTTTTCTTTTTCTTACAATTACACTATTTGACCTTTAAACAGCTTAGAATTCAGCACATCAGACATTTAGCAAAAACAGTTCTTTTAGCTAAAACTGAAAGAGGTGCTCCCACAGGAGCCTGACTTACTTTGTTTGGAAAGGTTATTCTACTTATTCACTCTGAACAAACAATTTCTCTTGCAAAAATGCAAATGACTCACACTGTGGCAAACGTACGCAAAGTAAGAAAATGACTTGATCGCTGGTTCAATTCCCAGTCTTTCTGTATGGAGTTTTCCTATTCTCCCTTTGAAGGCTTTCTCAGGGTACTCCGGTTTCCTTCCATCGCTCAAGAACATGGAGTCAAGGTTGAATGGACGCATTAAATTGTCCATAGGTATGAATGTGGGTGTGACATCACATCTGTAAAGATGCTAAGTTGTATTTTCTGATCAGGTAACAGTGTCTTACAGAAAAAGTGAAAACTATTTTAAGAAGTTTCTAAAACCTTAACGTGACAAAACTGAGGTTTGAAAAGTGTCTTACAGAAAAAGTGAAAACTATATTAAGAAGTTTCCAAAACCTTTACGTGACAAAACTGAGCTTAGAATTCAGCACATCAGACATTTAGCAAAAACAGTTCTTTTAGCTAAAACTGAAAGAGGTGCTCCCACAGGAGCCTGACTT